ATGTTTAAATGATTTTCTAGTAACGAAACGTGCACCCAGGTCCGTCGTTTTATATGAATTATGTTATAATTAACAATCAACGCAAAATACACAATATATGCAGTTTAGTTAAAACATACTTACACCAACCTGATGGATCTTTTTTAATTATGAGAATCAACATGAGGGTGATATATATCCGATTAATTTAGTATCTGACACCAAATTCAACGCCGAGTGAAGAATGTTATCAAATCCACTATCACGTGACTGGTAATATACGTATAACAAACGTGATCAAAAACCGGCATTTCCGAACATTTAACTAATTACTATAGTCGCAAAGTACAAATAAATAGTCGATTGATCTTCGAGTATAACACAAATTTTGAATATTAGTCCGAATAAACGATATAAATCTCTTAAAACACGAATGGATTAACCAGCGACCGACACGAAACTGACTGCAATCCACCGATAGTGCATGCCGAAACGGCGTAAACAATGACGGGACAGTATATGATAAGAAAACAAGAGGTGCGCAAAGACGACGCGTCGAAGAAACGCGACCTTGTGCGTGAATTTGCAATATGCACATTACTTGTGATCTAAACTAAACTAGACTTCGCTGCATGCAGCAAGATGATGCGGCGCTGGAAGAGAGCGCGCGAGACACATGCGTTAAAAACGTTTGTCGATAAATATAAAAATAAGCCGTATAAGTCGATTTTATGATTTTTAGTGCATCTATAAATGCGGCAGATACTAGTCCCACAATTTAGTCTATTATAATCAATAATTAATGTTTCTACGTGTTTACACTTCGGTATGCAGTACATATTGTCAATTAACATGTAGGGCATCTCTAAAACTATAACATGGCCAAGAGATTCTCTATTAGCTAGGGATTTAAAATTATTTAATTTCAATGGGTAAAAGGTCGAAAAATGCGATTAAAAGTGCTAAAATGTGACATTTTTCAATTTTTGACCATTTTCTTCAATTGTGAATATCTCGTAAACTAAAAGAGATAGAAAGGCCAAATCTGAGATTCTTAATCTACGCAAAATTCGCGACAAGATAGGCGAGTTAAAATCGAAATCTAAGAGATGAAATTTTGAGTCCTAAGAAAAAATTGGCAAGGGGGGGTGCTTGATACTTTTTTTCGACGATTTTCGATAGCGAATATCTTCTAAACTAAAAGAGATAGCAACCAGCGGATTGTAGAATATGGAAGATTGGATAAATCTCTATTAGCTATGGCTTTAAAATTATTTAATTTCAAAGTGTAAAAGGTCGAAAAATGCGACTAAAAGTGCTAAAAAGTGACATTTTTCAATTTTTGACCATTTTCTTCAATTGGGAATATCTCGTAAACTAAAAGAGATAGAAAGGTCAAATCGTAGATTCATAATCTACGAAAAATTCTCTACAAGATAGGCTAGTTAAAATCAAAATCTGAGAAATGAAATTTTCATTCTTAAGAAAAAATTGCCAAGGGGGGGTGCTTGATACTTTTTTTCGACGATTTTCCATAGCGAATATCTTCTAAACTAAAAGAGATAGCAACCAGCGGAAAGTAGATTATGAAAGATTGAATCATTTTCTATTAGCTGGGGATTTAAAATTATTTAATTTCAATGGGTAAAAGGTCGAAAAATGCGACTAAAAGTGCTAAAAAGTGACATTTTTCAATTTTTGACAATTTTCTTCAATTGTGAATATCTCGTAAACTAAAAGAGATAGAAAGGTCAAATCGTAGATTCTTAACCTACGGAACATGCTCTACAAGATAGGCTAGTTAAAATTGAAATCTAAGAGATGAAATTTTCACTCTTAAGAAAAAATGGGCAAGGGGGGGTGCTTGATACTTTTTTTCGACGATTTTCAATAGCTAATATCTTGTAAACTAAAAGAGATAGCAACCAGCGGAAAGTAGATTATGAAAGATTGAATCATTTTCTATTAGCTGGGGATTTAAAATTACTTAATTTCAAAGAGTAAAAGATCGAAAAATGCGACTAAAAGTGCTAAAAAGTGACATTTTTCAATTTTTGACCATTTTCTTCAATTGTGAATATCTCGTAAACTAAAAGAGATAGAAAGGTCAAATCGTAGATTCTTAACCTACGGAACATGCTCTACAAGATAGGCTAGTTAAAATCGAAATCTAAGAGATGAAATTTTCACTCTTAAGAAAAAATGGGCAAGGGGGGGTGCTTGATACTTTTTTTCGACGATTTTCAATAGCTAATATCTTCTAAACAAAAAGAGATAGCAACCAGCGGAAAGTGGATTATGAAAGATTGAATCATTTTCTATTAGCTGGGGATTTAAAATTACTTAATTTCAAAGAGTAAAAGATCGAAAAATGCGACTAAAAGTGCTAAAAAGTGACATTTTTCAATTTTTGACCATTTTCTTCAATTGTGAATATCTCGTAAACTAAAAGAGATAGAAAGGTCAAATCGTAGATTCTTAACCTACGGAACATGCTCTACAAGATAGGCTAGTTAAAATCGAAATCTAAGAGATGAAATTTTCACTCTTAAGAAAAAATGGGCAAGGGGGGGTGCTTGATACTTTTTTTCGACGATTTTCAATAGCTAATATCTTGTAAACTAAAAGAGATAGCAACCAGCGGAAAGTGGATTATGAAAGATTGGATCATTCTCTATTAGCTGGGGATTTAAAATTATTTAATTTCAATGGGTAAAAGGTCGAAAAATGAGACTAAAAGTGCTAAAATGTGACATTTTTCAATTTTTGACCATTTTCTTCAATTGTGAATATCTCGTAAACTAAAAGAGATAGAAAGGTCAAATCGTAGATTCATAATCTACGAAAAATTCTCTACAAGATAGGCTAGTTAAAATCAAAATCTGAGAGATGAAATTTTCATTCTTAAGAAAAAATTGCCAAGGGGGGGTGCTTGATACTTTTTTTCGACGATTTTCCATAGCGAATATCTTCTAAACTAAAAGAGATAGCAACCAGCGGAAAGTAGATTATGAAAGATTGAATCATTTTCTATTAGCTGGGGATTTAAAATTACTTAATTTCAAAGAGTAAAAGATCGAAAAATGCGACTAAAAGTGCTAAAAATTGACATTTTTCAATTTTTGACCATTTTCTTCAATTGTGAATATCTCGTAAACTAAAAGAGATAGAAAGGTCAAATCGTAGATTCTTAACCTACGGAACATGCTCTACAAGATAGGCTAGTTAAAATCGAAATCTAAGAGATGAAATTTTCACTCTTAAGAAAAAATGGGCAAGGGGGGGTGCTTGATACTTTTTTTCGACGATTTTCAATAGCTAATATCTTGTAAACTAAAAGAGATAGCAACCAGCGGAAAGTAGATTATGAAAGATTGAATCATTTTCTATTAGCTGGGGATTTAAAATTACTTAATTTCAAAGAGTAAAAGATCGAAAAATGCGACTAAAAGTGCTAAAAAGTGACATTTTTCAATTTTTGACCATTTTCTTCAATTGTGAATATCTCGTAAACTAAAAGAGATAGAAAGGTCAAATCGTAGATTCTTAACCTACGGAACATGCTCTACAAGATAGGCTAGTTAAAATCGAAATCTAAGAGATGAAATTTTCACTCTTAAGAAAAAATGGGCAAGGGGGGGTGCTTGATACTTTTTTTCGACGATTTTCAATAGCTAATATCTTGTAAACTAAAAGAGATAGCAACCAGCGGAAAGTGGATTATGAAAGATTGGATCATTCTCTATTAGCTGGGGATTTAAAATTATTTAATTTCAATGGGTAAAAGGTCGAAAAATGCGACTAAAAGTGCTAAAAAGTGACATTTTTCAATTTTTGACCATTTTCTTCAATTGTGAATATCTCGTAAACTAAAAGAGATAGAAAGGTCAAATCGTAGATTCTTAACCTACGGAACATGCTCTACAAGATAAGCAAGTTAAAATCGAAATCTAAGAGATGAAATTTTCACTCTTAAGAAAAAATGGGCAAGGGGGGGTGCTTGATACTTTTTTTCGACGATTTTCAATAGCTAATATCTTGTAAACTAAAAGAGATAGCAACCAGCGGAAAGTAGATTATGAAAGATTGAATCATTTTCTATTAGCTAGGGATTCAAAATTATTTAATTTCAAAAAGTAAAAGGTCGAAAAATGCGACTAAAAGTGCTAAAAAGTGACATTTTTCAATTTTTGACCATTTTCATCAATTGTGAATATCTCGTAAACTAAAAGAGATAGAAAAGTCAAATCGCAGACTCTTAATCTGCGGACAATTCTCAATAAAATAAGCTATGTTAAATTTGAATTCTAAGAGATGAAAATCAGCTATACAATCATCAACGCACGGCGTCCTGAGCACGAATGACTTCTACCACTGCCCTTGTACGGTGCCCTGAATCAAGTCACTTCTACCGCTAACTTTATACGGTTCCCTGAACACGAGTCACTTCTACCGCTACCCTCGTACGGTGTCCTGAATCAAGTCACTTCTACCGCTAACTTCATACGGTGCCCTGAACACGAGTCACTTCTACCGCTACCCTCGTACGGTGCCCTGAATAAAGTCACTTCTACAGTTACGTTTAAATTACTTTTGATGGCAAAAATATATCATGAATTGTGTAAAAATAGCAATGAAGGTTTGTTTTAGAGGTATACTCATAGTTTTAGTTATATAATCAAATCTAGAAAGCGCTAAAGTGCAGTATGGATACTTTACATCACATTTCAGTGCTTTTACATCAAAAATGACATTTTTATCAATCAAATACAAAATTCTCCGTAAATAATAATTTCACAATGCCCCGAAATTCTGATAACATTATTCTGCCCGGAGTTACCTCCATAGGCACCCCCACAGACCGTAACAAAGTCACACCTGAGATGCGCGAAGCTTACGAGCAAGTACTCCGCGAAAAGAAAAAATTCTCGCTGAAATTCAAGAAGTACAAGAAGAATTACGCATTGGCAGCATAAACAATGAAAAATTGCTAAAAGAAGAACAACGCGCACAAGAAAAATATGACAGAGAACAACCCACTGGAAAACTCAACAAAAATCAATACAAATTGTCAACAATGCCAAACCCCTAACAAAAATCCTGCAAAAGTGCATCCAGTTGCAATGACAATGATGGAAGAGAAAAATAAAGATACATTATCACCGCGGTCATCATTAACAATTGGTAGAAAATTATCGCCTATGAGAACTAAACCAAAATCACCAATGCGTACTCCTGCTGATAACGGTAAGACACCGACGAGCAACAATGCTAGACCTGGTCCAAAACCAATACCGCCGAAGATTATCAGTCGACGTTCCGACTCGGAGGAGTTTTTCCCACAGGTACGGGCTGCGTTTAACTATCCGAGAACACCGCCGCCTACTCCACGCATGTCGGGTGCCGGGAAGACCAATTATGATAATAATAATAATAACAACTATGGTAATAATTATAATAATAATAATTATAATTATAATAATACGGCAATTGATCGGAATGCTTACGCTAAAGTGGTGGAAGAAGTTGAGGAGTTATCGGATACTTCATTGTCGGTTCAGCATGATTTGCATATGGAAATTGCGGCGATGCATCTGGCGATTCAGAAACGGTGTTGTTTAGCCGCGGGATTTATTCTTTTACTTATTGTTTTATATATTTTTATTAAATACTAACTGTGGCTGCAGGGGTATTCTCTATTATTTTATTAATATTTGTCAGAAGTTACAGCAACAGCAAAAGTTGGATAGAAATTAGTTTCGGATAGTTTTGTCAGATGGCGCTGTTGTTGAAACTGCTGGCCGCCAGAAAAGGCTATTTTCGGACAATTGTGGTTATGTTAATCAAACTAAAAGTAAATATACATTATTTTAAAATGAAAACTTAATTAAGTATTCGGATTGAGCACATCAAAGTTGCAAACAAAAATACAATAACTAGATTGGCTATTAATTAGCTAAAATTTAGCTATTCTATAAATAGCTAAATAACAGATAAAATGACTGCAACTTTCCATCAAATAACAACATGTTTACCAATTAGCAACAAGTTCATCATTTAATAAATTTTAGTAAACACGTAATTTTCCACTAAAACACAACATTCGAGATAAACTAATACCGTAACTAATACTTTTATGACATTTGCGTAATAACACTCCCATGCAAATTATCTAGTAATCTTTCTAGTAAATTTTCAATTCCGGTGAAAATTTGAACAAAATAATCATAAAATAATAATCTTTCCAAGAGTAGAATCAGTTGATACTCCGTAAGCGTTAAATAAAATGTTAACGCAAACAATTAACAACAATGACGTTACAAATTGAACAAATCGGCGCGAATTAGAAACACCAACAAGGTACTACCGCGCACCATATTTAATTCCCACAATTTCCAAATACCTACGAAAATGATCACGTTCTTAACACATGTTCATAATAGTATATTAAGTATCAAGAGGGTAAACGCGTGTTTTAGTCACGAGATTGATTGATAGCAAGCATAGCAAGCGTAGCAAGCGTTTAATCAATCAAGTGTTTAACAACTTCTAACCACGTGATGCTTACGCTATTTTTTGACGTGATAACGTCTTTAAAATCGTTTTAGTTGGGTTACTGTTCAGAAACTTGTGTCGCGAGCCCTCACGAGGCCGATCGCAGGTATACCCCCCTCTCGTTATTCCGTGAAATCCAGCGCGCCGACTGCGATCATCCGTTCCGACGGCTGTCGTCAGGAAACAAAAGAGTGCGGGGAGAGACGCGGTCCTAGAGTGCGTCTGTTATAGATAAATTAACAATTGAACATAGAATGTATTTGTATAGGCAGTTACTGACATGCTTGTATGTTGAACGCATGTTCACTCCGTAACAACACGCTCAACATGATGGATCCCAGTGCACACATTCCTTCAACATCCAATACGCTGATGGAGACCGAGTAGGGCTTCACACGAGACGAGACTGGACGATACTATCAAAGGTATCGTCTCGCAAAAGCGATACGAGACCGAGACGATTCGAGAAAAGTCTCGGTATCGTGTGAAGCTTTAAGTAGAACTCAGTTTTAGATCTTTGCAGTTCAAAAGTTTAGTCATTTAATTGCTAATTGCATGTATTGTAAAGTAAATCCAAAATACATACATAGTTTAAAATATTAATTTTTAATTGCATCACTTTTAATTGAAAATATATTTTTTAATGTTTCAAATTTTAAAACGATAATGTATACTAGGGTACAATAGTCGAGTTGATTTGTGTTGAAAGTAAGCGGCGCACGTCTACAATTCCTAACTTACCCAGATGTATACAATATCTTTGCTTCAAGAAGTACAGAAAAACACAAAAATATGTCTCCGGATGTGTAAACAAAGACAAAATTTTCATAAAACTTTCAAAAAGTCAAAAAGGTCATGATATTCGGTTACTGACTTGTTATTTTTAATATACAAAAGAAATATTTCACAGATGGTCATATATTGGATTTCATATATTGGACCTTTTCCCATTTTTCTAATAACAACTTCATAAAAAAAAGTAACGAGACCAATAACGAGACCAAAAACGAGACTCGGACTGTGGTATCGGTATCGCCGAGAAATTGATAAAACACGTCTCGTCTCGGTATCGTCTCGCTTTTCCGAGACGAGACCGAGACGATACGAGAAAAGTCTCGGTATCGCGTGAAGCCCTAAGACCGAGGATGCTTTGCCGTCAACGTCTGCAATACCCACCACTGCCGAAAAGAAGGCCCTGCGAAATCGTGAGTACAGAAAACGTGTAGCAGCTATTAGAACCCCAGAACAGGCCGCGGCGTTTGCAAGAAAAGCCGCTGAAAGACAACGCAAAGCGTACCATCTACCTTCCTTTTATTTCTTACTTTTCCTATCATCGTCCTATCCTGAACAGAATTACCCAGATTGGAAACAGATAAAATTACGTGATTTTACGTAATTTAAAATTTGAAAAAATTGTCATCTTCATTAATTCCTTACTTCACAAAAACTTATATCACCAATAAGACGTTATCACGTAAACATCTCGATCGTAAACCTACTTTACAAACAACCATTTTTTCTTACTTCGACTCTATTTTGCTATTACGCAAGCGCACGCTGCTAAAGCCCGTGACTAAAGCCCGTTAATAAAATACTTTAATCACAGCCTTGGTCCCAATCCAAGTAGAAAAAATATTTGGCATTTAATAATTATTTGATTTTTATTTTTATTTAACCACATTGGTATAAAAGTAAGATGTATTCTAAGTGGGTGCAGAAAGTACCTTGGGACGTTCCCCAAATAAATTCTTATTGCACTCATCACAATCATATTGAGTTTGAACCAAATCCTCCAATTCCCCACATTTAATCTGAATAATCGGGGCCTCACGAGGTCCAGCAGGTTTTAGAAGGATCTTCTGGGTACCTATTGATGGTACCCTCTCTTGAGGTGACAAAGCTTCTAATTTGACTTTTAATTCAACAGGGTCTACTCCTGACTTGCTGACTTCATCAATACCAGCAATACCATCATCTTCATCTATAAAATCTTGCTGAGGTGTTATTACCACACCTCCTGCTTCTGTTCCTGACCCACTTTTAGAAACCATCAAAAGTCTCATCTCATAAAGGAAAATAATAATAAATATCACAAATATAACCACAATGGCATAATAAGTAATCTCATTATATCTAGCTCTTAATCTTTCCAATTCCTCTTGGAGTTCTTCATTATCCGTCTCTATCCTTCGTGGTTGATGTTCCACGACCACCACAACATCATCGTCATCCGTTGCCATGTCTATACCTTCATCTGGAGACTCCTCAATTGGTTTAGCTAGAAGTGAAGGTGTGTCTCGGATGTGTTTATGGCCCGCAAGTGGTTGTTGTTTAGTAATCATAGGTAGTCCTTTAATAGGGTCATCTCGGAATAGTGGTGGGGGTTCCGGTTGATCTGTTTGGATTGCTTTGGTAGGACTAGGTGATTTTTGTAATCCTGATGATTTAAGTGGTGGTGCGGTTGATGTTGAGGCTATTGGTGTTAGTACAGGTGCTGGTGCAGGTGGAGTTGGAGGAGGTGGTGGGGGTTCTGGGTTTTCTTTTTCCTGAATGGAATCTACTAGGCGTTCATTTCGGGCACGTAATTCTTCTAGTTGGTTCATCAACGCACCGAGTTGACTTCGAAGTTTGAATTTTTCATTGAGGGCTTGCATGTATTCAGCTTTGAAGATGTCTTCTTCGGTGCTATGCTGATTTCTTTTCGTTTTCTTCCTCATCTTGATTGTTATTTAGGCTTTCTTCAACTTACAAAAAAATTCGATTCCATATTTAACCAAATTTAACACTACATAATTACGATGATAATTTTCATGGGCATTTTTCTATAAGAAATTTAAAACGTAGCTGTCACACGCCATATTTATGTGTTTGTAATTTTAAAATGTATCGTGACATGTTGAAACCTATCTTAACGAGAGAGAGAAATCATTGTCAATTCCGTGAAACTTGACAAATCCACACGAAAGGCATAGTGTTCGAGTGAGTGGACCGATCTTCCGTCTCTCTCACTCTAGCGGTATACAAACGAGGAATTTTCTCGTGAATTTTCGATGAATATTTAACAGTGAAACAAAACGTAGCTGTCAACAATTGTCATAAGACGTTATCACGTGTCGTAAACCTTTTTAAAACAACCATTTTTTTTGTGTATTGTGTGTTGCCTATCTTAAAGTCAAAAATCATTGTCAATAAACAAAAAGTCTTCAAACTTTTTAGGAATAATTTTCTATTAGAAATGCAAAATGTAGCTGTCAGATGTCATATTTATGTGTTTCTAATTTCATGTGTATTTTGTGTGGCCTAGGTCAAAGTCACAAATCATGGTCAATAAACAAAAAGTAAGTGCTGAGTAAACAAAAGCGTGTATCAAATAATTCTCACGCACGACAAGCTCGTCAAGCGCAAATTATGAATAAAAAACAGGACAAACAAAGATAAATGTTAATAAAATCGATAGGCAAACTGCGATGCATCAAAATAGAACACAATATTCGTTGTACAGGCCGGTTGTCGTAGGTAGCGAACCAACGATGCCGACCACGTGTGGAGCTTTCTCAGGGATTATAATCCTCGCGCAATGTTTCGGTTTGTTTCCGCTCGTTAACGTGCGCAGTGAAAATATTGACAACGGCGAAAATTCGTTAAAATTCAAGCGGAAATCTTTTCGATTTGTGCATTCATGTATAATTATCATACTTATTATATTTAATCTTTTGTTTTATACAATGCAAGTTGCCGAAATTGGACTTGACTTCGAAACAACAGGTTAGTAATTAAATTTTTATTAAAAAAGTTGTAAAATTAAAATTATGTTTTGTTTGTAGTGATTTTTTTATTTTTTTGTTTTGGACCTGCGTCCACCATGTTATTAATGCACTTGGCCCGAAAATGGCCGAGTATAATGCAGCAGTGGACTCAGGTAGATGTCAAAATGGAAAGTTATGGATTTCCGGTTAACCTCAAAAAACATCTTTACCTAACAACTATTGTGGTTATGTCAGCTTCGCTAAGTATAAAAAACCCTCAAAAATCAACTTTTACTCATCTAATTAATATTATTTTGTTTATAAATAGTTGAACATAGTTTTTCATAACATACTCATTAACAAACTCCCCGGAAATGAAAAATGTCACCAATATCTGGATAGGATTAAACGAATACTTGAAAAAAGTCGGTTCGCATGTTTTCAGTCACATACCTTACAACCCTGGTTTTGGAATAGCATTTAAAGTCGTCGAGATAACAATTACGTTTGTTTGGAGTTACATGGATGTGTTTATCATGACAATTGCTATTGCTTTAGCAGCAAGATTTCGTCAAATTAACGAAAGAATAAAGAGAATTTTAGAAGATATACAAGAAAAACAAAAATCAACTCTTGAAGAAAATGACAATGTTGAAACAAAGGATACAGAACAAAAACAAGAACAAAATGGCGGATTGTGGATGGGTATCCGTGAAGATTACAACAGTTTATGCCAGTTGACAGCTGTTATTGATGAATCCATAGCTTATATTATCCTTTTGAGTTTTGCGAATAATTTATTTTTGATATTGGTGCAACTTTTACACAGTATTGAGTAAGTTAAGTTTAATTAAATTTTTTTTCTACTTTCACTTTTAAAACATCACTTTTTCCACGGATACGATGCATAAAAAGTGGTATTATAAACACGACGGGCCAAAACCGTGACTAAAGTACTTTAGTCACGAGTTTTAGTCACGGGGTAAAAAAATTAAGTGGAAGTTGAAAAAGTAACGTGAGCATCACTTTGCTAAACGTTGTTAAAGTGTCACTTACCGCACTTGATACTTAATATACTATTATTATTAATATTATTAATATTTAGTGTAATATTTAGGCCACAAGAGAAAACACGCGTCATTGACAGATTATACTTCGTATATAGTTTCGGATTCCTCATTTTACGCACATCTGCTGTAGCAATGACTTCATCACAGATTTATGTAGAAAGCACACGGCCATCTTGGTTCCTAACCACGCAACTACCCGAAGAATATTGCGATAATGAAGTGGAGAGACTACTAACACAAATTCATGCAACCGGTGGTTGTTTCCTAACCGGAAATGGCTTCTTTAAAATAAAAAGTTCTTTAATTTTAAGTGTAAGTACAAATAACCTTACAAAAATATATATTTTTAATGTTTGTGTATGTTGGGTTGCAGATTGCAGGCGCTGTGGTCAGTTACGAGCTTATATTCATACAATTTCATTTGTTATCATAAAATTAATTAATTTTAAATAAAATAAAATGAAACAAAATAAAATTTTGAAAACAATATTAAAATATCAATCATTTCGGATGTTTGAAGTGAAATGTAAGCAATAATCGAGCAGTGCGTAAACACAAACATTGTTTACCAACATTATTCACCCATTTCACATTTTTCTACAAAAACAAATCATTAATCTTGTATTTTTGTATAAATCAAAGTTTTTTACGCGCGCATTACGCTGACTTCGACGTAGTAGCAACAAAAGTAAACAATAACAATAACTATTATTTTACACAACGCGTAAATATTTACTATTTCAACTTAGGCACAAAGTGTTGCAATAATATTTCAATATAAATAATTCACCATGCACCCGGTGTAATTATTACCGATATTTTTCATGTTTTCCATGTATTGATGCTCGGTTGTTTACAGTTTCCTACCCGACAAGCACGAGTGTAATCCGAATTGATTGGTGGGGCACTCGATAACAGCGCAAACATGCAAACGAAAATCAATTTCCTATTTTCAGATTCATTTCGCCGCATTTATCGCTACGCGACACAAGCACAAGTAAGTCAATCACCGCAACCCACCTTACATTGTGTATAACTGGTTGCTTTGTCTTCCAGTGTTTTCATCATCGAAAATCACTCCGATTTCAACAATATCAACTGTTTTACCACAAAAACCTCCAGAAGAAAAGCCTCAGACACATACAAAGTGTTTCCATCAAATTCTACGCAATGTATTAATCGTTGCACAGTTATTCGCACAATTACCCATACAGGGTGTTACATATCCGACACCAAACAAGTTAAACTTCACTTATAAATCATTTTTATCTTTATATTGTCTATTACCATTCTTGGGTAATGTTTTTGTCCTGTGTATGTTGATTTACAAAATGGCCGCGTTTGGTAGTGACTTATTTCTTATTACTTCGTTTATTTATCATGTTTGTAACATGGGTACGACTTTATCTTTGCTTCACGTGGCGAAAAAATGGCCGCCGTTGATGAAACAATGGCATATGATTGAGTTACACATGCAGCGCCATTATGGCTGGCCGAAAAAGTTGGAATTCCGCGTGAATACCATCGCGATTATAATTTCAATCTTTGCTTTGATAGAGTACTTCTCTAATCATGTCGCTAATATTCAACTGGCACACACTTGTTCACCACAGGATCCACTCAAATATTACTATGAACAACTCACGTTTCCGTTTATATTCGCCATTTTGCCTTATCAGCCAACAAGTGCGGTTTTATTACACGTGATTGACTTTTTTCGGGCTTCACATGGTGCTACAGTGATTTGTTTATTATGATTATGTCGTCGGCTTTAGCTGTGAGGTTTCAACAGATTACCACGAGGTTGAAGAAGATTACTGAGGAACAAGGGAGTCGGTGGAGGTTGGAAGGCGCGAGGAAGAATCACGCTGAGGAATCGAATAAATTATGGAAGGAGATAAGGGAGGATTATAATAAATTATGCGTTTTGTGTCGGACGCTTGACGAAGCCATTTCGTATTTGGTCTTGATGTCCTACAGCACAAATTTATTTTTTATTTTGATACAACTTTTCAACAGTTTAAGGTAAAATATTAAATTTTTTTCCATTTCTACCTTTAAAATCAATGTTTTCCACTGTTTTGAGACATGAAAAGTGGTACTTTACTCATGGTCGTGACTAAAGTATTTTAATCACGTGTTTTAGTCACTCCCGTGGTAAAAATGTCTTTTAGCGCACTTGATACTTAATATACTATTAAAACATTAAAATTTAATATTTTTTTCTTTCTAGGAATAAAAATACGCGGGAAAAAATTTATTTCTTCTTCTCATTTGGTTTTTTAATCAGCCGCACGATTTCTGTGAGTTTATACGCAGCGTGGGTTAACGATGAGAGTAAAAAACCATTGTTAATCTTAAATTCCATCCCGAGTCATCTTTATAACCTAGAAATCAAGCGGTTTGTGCAACAGATTAGTTTTGATTCTGTTGCGTTGACAGGCAGACATTTTTTTCATGTTACAAGAGGGCTTATTTTAAGTGTAAGTTAATAAATGAATCAAATTTGATATATTTTTGGTTTAATATTAATAATATTAATTATTTTTAGGTTGCTGGTGCAATAGTGACGTATGAATTGGTGTTGATTCAATTTAATGAAAATTTACTTAAAGAAGACTCTACGATTTTATTAGATACAAATGGGTGTGTGTTAAATTAGTTGATTTAATGTAGTTATTTAATGTTTTGTGGCTTTTTTGATTAGATGTATAATATATATAATAAATATAATAATATAATAAAGATAAGCGGGTTTTCCGGTTCATAATAAATGATTTATTACTATTGAACCTATAAAAATCAGTTTATTGCCACCTGATAAGAGATTTCGCGGTAGATACGAGTAATAATATTGAATATTTATTACTGTCAGTGTTACACTTCATATTTTATTTATTAGGTACAATATTGGTGCCAACTAGTACTTATTTTAATGGATTTCACATTGGAAGTGGTTTGAGGTTATGTATATGGGTCGAACATAACATAATGCAACAAAAAAAGTAAAATTACTTAAAGTCTACTTAAATTTGTTAATAATTGATATGTTTTTATTTGTATTAGTATTAGTATTAGATTTTAAGTTTCATGTGGTTTGAGATGCAGTTTAGTCATCGAACATAACGTTATGCAACCAAAAAACTTATATTACTTAAATCCCATAAATAAATAATTCATACATTTTTACTCATAACTCAATAACTCACTCGTTTCCAATCCACCCAGATGATCATGCCATTGTTGAGCGATAACAAGACACTTTGCAAACACTTCCTCGCAGATAAATGCATTCGATAACACTGCGTACTGCTTCAAACGCCTAATTAATTCATACACGCACTGATAATAATAAAATTCGTTTGGTTACACTTCGTACGGTTATACTTCACCGGTCACAATTTGTATCATATTTTTTGTATCATATGTTCACGCATTTAACTAATATTTAAGCTAAATTAACTTCAGTTGCGAGCGAATAAACAAAATTAATTAATTAATTACGATGTGTACGTTTTCGGGTATTGAATTGCATGAAAACACGAAACGTATCTTAGTGTTGAGTCAATGTTTCGGTTTGATACCAGTTTCGGGGGTGTTAAGTGGAAAATTAAAATATAAACGTAGTAGTTTTAAAGTGCGTTATTCTTATTTATTATTGGCAGCGCATTTTGTTATGGCGTCGATGACTATTGGTGATTTATTTTTTCGAACGGTTTCTTTTCGTTCTTGTAGTAAGTAAATTGGCTATTTTTATGTTTTTTTTGTTGTTATAAAACAGCAAATAATTGAATTTTAATATTATTATAGATGTAATAATGATATACGTCCCTGGATTTTTAATGCACTGGCAATTTTTAAACATCGGACAAGATTGGCCTGAGTTAATGCAACAATTTCGACGTGTAGAAGAACTTTTCAAGTCAAATTGTTACAAAACACAGAAAAAGCGAAAATCTTTATTCACCGGCACGCTTTTAACTACATTATTCATTTTATCAATCACAATATGTAAGTATTAACTGTTATAATTGATTAATTAGCCGTTCAAATCCAAAATTTCGAGTTTCCAATGGTTTGAGTTGCAGTATTAATAATACTGTATTATCATCGAACATAGCACTATACAACCAACAAAACATATATTATTTAAATTTAATACGTAATATAATAATTATAAGTATTAAAATTATTAATAATAAATTTTTAGGTGAATATAGTTTTTCTATCGCTAGTGTTTACGATGTTATTGCACGAACAGGCAACGTAGAAGATTTAAACGTCTGGAAAGTCATGATAAAAGAAATTTTCTCTTTTATCACTGACTACGTTCGATATTCGTCTCTTTTAGCATTTGTTTTGTTGGTATATTTTATATTGTATATTTATATTCACAAATTTTAATGTAATTATTTCGTAGACAATGAATTTCTATTGTACTTTCATCTGGAATTTCATGGATTTGTTTATAATTATCATGTGTAATGCAATTGCGAGAAAATTTGAAGCTATTGGAAGAGAAATTCTGAAAAGTTCACGCGAAGAGTTGGAAAATGAATATTACTGGCAGAAAATGCGTGAGGATTATAATCAACTGGCAAAGTTATTTTATTACTTGGATCAGAAAATTTCTGGAATTGTTTTACTATCATTTGCATCGAATATGTATTTTATTCTTGTGCAATTATTTCGAAGTTTGAGGTAAGTAAACAACTTTGAATTCACATGTACACGAATTCGGCGTTTATCGCAGTGCACATTCACTGATACATACAAAGAAACAACAAGTTTTGTGTATTCAGAATTAAATGCAAATAGTGCATCGTACCGCCATCTATGAAGTTTACTATATAACTATTTTGTATACCTGCTCGCAACATTCGAGGTCACAAAGCAAAGAGATTCAGCATTTGTGTTCAGCATTTACCTTCTTTCTCACACACTACCACAATCAAACAAGATTTAATGCAAATAACTGCATGCTAGCGACATCTGCCCGCAATATATTGTGTTATATTACAAAATCAACATAAGTTAATCTTACAACGCACTTTTTAAATAAAGATAATGGAGAAAAGTAATGTTATTGTCACAGCAAGATTTTGTAAATATCTTTGCTATTCCAATATTAATTTTCTACCAATTTATTTTATGATAGCTCCAATATAATTTTAAAAACCTTTAAATTTGCCTGACTAGCATATTAATCTATTCGTCTAGTAGTTTTATTGCATTAAAAACTTCTAAAACAACGAAAAAAGTTCTAAAACTATATTAAAGATGAAATTGGTGGTTAAATTTTAATGCTTCAGGTTAAGTTTTTCGCAACTATTAAAATCTCGCAATAACTTTTCAATAAAACCAGCAAATATACAAAATAATATCAAAAATCGAAGATACTTCAATTGCTAATCAGTAAATATCACTTACTGCGTTGTTTTTGTCGATTCTCTGCATAAAAACAATATTTAAAACGTTACATTAAATTGGAGCGAAAACTATTGGATAACTATGCATAGGCAACAACATCTACACCAAAACATGCATCATTCAACTGCTAACATGAATAAATTTAAAATATACATTTTATTGCAGTTTAAGCAACTCCAACGTCGAGAAAATCTACTTTGTCGTCTCCTTTGGCATGTTACTCTTACGAACTGGCGCTGTTTCAATCGTCGCAGCTCGTTTAAACGACTCCAGCCGCACACCGTTAACTTTTCTCACCCTACAACCATCAGAATACTACTGCCCGGACCTAGAACGACTAATTCTACAAATAAGCCAAGACGACATCGCATTATCCGGCTACAAAAGCTTCAAAATCACTCGTGGATTCTTATTTCGCGTAAGAACATCATTCCCATCATCAATATCATCAAAATAAACCAATCAAATTTCAGATTGCAGGTACAATCGTCACCTATGAACTCTTCCTCTTCCAATTCAACTTAAGCTTAAACATGATGAGATAAACAAGTCAAACACCCAAAATATGCACAATTAACTTATTATTTTATCAATACACTGTCATACTTAATTTTTATCAGGCATCATACCGCCACAATCAATAAAATTGTTCTTGATTTCGAATTGTGGAAGCAAAACATTTAAATTCGACATTCTGTTGCGTGCGATGCGCACACAAATCACAAATGAATCACAGAATGCGCATCATCTATGTACAACCGACTTATCATTTACATACCATTCTAATACGTAATTCTTTCTTGGTTACTTTTAATTTTTATAAATAAACAACGCAATAAAATTTCATTCGTTTCATGATGCAATCTTTTAAGAGAGTGAAGTTAACCCGTTTACAACTATTGAGATGTAAGCGGGGAAATTACAACCTGCGGATCAACATTACCAGGCGTATCCAGATTCTTTAACAATTGTGATAGCCAATGTGTTGTACTCTTGTCTTCCTTCAGACATGTATTGAACGTGTTATCGCGTAGTTGATCAGGTAGACATTGGCGTAAAGCTTCCCGCGCGCGGCCATTGTCGGAAAGTCGCAGATAACACCGCACCACGTGTTTCAAAAGACGTGCGGATGGTTCTTTCGCTAGTGAGAGCACCATTTTACCCAGAATCATCGCCACGTGGCTGAAACGATCGTAAGTATGACAGATATAACTCAATCCGCTGTCATCTAAAAGGATTTTTTGTAAGATAAACGTGGCGACGGTTTTACTCAGCTCGGAACCCGATTCCATGATTCGTAGGCACAACGGGATGATTTCAGTTGTCAGTAGGAAGGTAATAACTTCCTGTTCGTCGGTTTTTACCAGCGCGCCGATTACTCCTAGACTTGTAAGACGTAAATATTCAAAAGGACGAGTTTTTGATACGGTATGCAAAAATGGATAGAGGAATAACGGAATATGCGCGAGGAGGAATTGCGAACGGGTTTCCTGGTGTGATGCTACACATTGTAGGAGTGCAAGGGCATTACACACTCGATTTGACTGGTGTGCGTTGAGAGTTGGTGGATTTATCGCTGGATAAATGTTGATGATTTCCTGAAGCAGTGCTGCAGTTGTACCAAAGCTGTTCCATAGCATGGGGGCTAAATCCGGAACAACTTCACGTTTTTTACTATATATTTTTAAAGAAAAAACAGTGATTAATTATTGTTTAATTCATAAATGAATGATTTTTACTTTACCTTAGTTCTAGTAAAGCGTTTTCACGTGTTTCAGGATTCGTCAGCTCCAGAATCCATTGGTAAATGGTGTCTCGGTCCACATGTTGATTTGCTGGACTTGGTTGTGCGCTCATTTTGTACTGCACCGCAAAATAAATTTAAATTATTACAACGATTTACGCTAAATTACTATATAACCTCAAAATGCGCTTGTATGAAGTTATGCGCATTATTTTCTCAGAAGTTAGATAAATGCATAAAAATTGTTGTACGAATTAGGATGTTTTACCTTTTAATCTTTCTTCGCGCGGCGAACAAACCAAATTACCACGGAACTAGTTATAAACAACTTTGATGGTCACTTAGTCTTGATGAATGACAACTATCAACAATGTCAGGGTGACACAGGTGAATACCAATAGTCATACCAACGTAAATAAATCAAAAGAAAATGTATAAAAAATGGGCAAAATTCATCATTAATTCCGACTATATTTGGTAAAATTAATAAAAATTGGCTTATAAATAAAGATATGCATCAATTAGATATTATTTCCAGCAATTTTCAATTGATAATTTGGCATAGTGACAAAATTCGTGCAAAAGTTCTAAGGAAATTCCCAAGATTTTGAACGATGCATTGTGAAATACGCGTCAGTTTGCGGTGTTCATGCAAATGTTCGTTGCACAATTTATTTATCTAATTAGATCATAATCTCACGAAGTTAAAGAAGAATCGTTGATATTTAATTATTAATTAATTACCAGCACGATGGTTTCAACGGCGCCTGATGCCATCGACGTTGTGGTGAGTATTTTATTTTGCTCTGCAGGTTATGTCAACCAAAACACGCGCAATTTGCATTTCATTTAAATTTTTTTCCAGGATTTTCAATTTCGAGAACATTTACGCCTTAAAGCGTTTCAAAGTGCTACATTTCCCAACGCATGCAACCTGGTAACAGTCGCCAGTCGTTTCGGATTGATTTTTATTGCTGGGGAAACAAATGATTTACAAGGTAAATTATTCAAGTGAATATTAAGTTTATTGTTATTAATAAATCATATTTGTTTGTTAGTTATACAAGTTAAAGACATTGAGAACTTGTCTAAAGAAGTGAAGGAGTTTAAATGCAGATCAGTTCCATTGCAATCAAGAACTCTGCATATTTCTGTAAATTGTGACAGTACTAAACTTGCAGTTGTTGTTACAAAGGATAATTGCCCACATGTTATCTTTTATGATGTGTTATCATTTCTAAAACAGGTAATTTATCATCTAATCAATGTTTAAATGTGTTAAAACTAATTTTTACTTGATATTATGTGTAGAATTATCAAATTGTGAACCACACTAGGTTATCACAGAACTCAGACTGTAAAATTCTACAAATTGATTGGAATCCTGCATTGCCTGACGTTTTCACTGCGGTTAAAGATGATGGTTCACTACTTATCTATGATTTTAAAGGCGCTCCAATTGAATTACCGCCTGGAGCGAACGCTACTTGCTTCTGTTGGAGTCCCAAAGGCAAACAGCTTGCTGTGGGCAGCCGTGACGGCAAAATTACGCAATATAAGATTGATTTAAAGGCGATGAAAGTGGTCGAAGCACCGCCTGGTTTTGGTACAATCATTAGCTTGTGTTGGGTGTCCAGTTTTCAATTCTTTGGCGTTTATCAAGCCGGTGATCAGATTAGCCTAATTTGTGTGGATGCACCGAAAACAGGCGCTACCATCTACACAAATTATGATGATGTGTGTTATAGTAATGGATTTGCACGTCCTGAACAATTTTATTTGATTCATCAACTTAATTGGTAATAATTTTAAGTTTTATTGTGAAAATTGTGTTTATTTTGTTTGTTTTATGTTTTTATAGGAATGTACTGTTTGTTGCTTCGTCGAACAGTATGGAGATAGCTATTTTGGGAATGGATGCCAATAGCAAATGGACGCAGTGGAATTTGAATGACAACAGTCGTGCTACGCTCCCATTGGGCGCAAAACACGAAGACACGCTTCCGATTGGTTGCGCCTTTAACGTAGGCACTACACATTTCAAAATCGGCGATGATACTAAACAAGGTCCTGCATTACTGGTACTGAGTGATCATGGTATGTTGGTCATGTTTAACGCGATTAATTCACGCCCTGGTGCGATGGATATCTGCACACCGTTGGAGAATATTGCAGACCGATCTGGAGAAACACAATTTGTTCAAAAACAAAACGAAATTCAACAGGTACTGCAACCAGTTGCACCACCTGTTGTAAAACACAACCTGTGCAACAATTACCTAAACCTGTGGCGTCATTCCCTCTCGCCGGGCAACAACTCCCACAAATGCCAAAATTACCCGACCTGTCAATCAATCCGGTTTCAACTCCCAGTCAAATTCAAAGTCAAGGCTTGTTTGGTTCCTCAGGCGGTTCGATTCTAAAACCGTCTGCAACCCAAGCCGCACCTGTTAAAACCACAACCACTACTAATCCTACATTTGCTTTGCCTGCGTTTAAATCCAAACCCGCAGAAATCTCGTTTTCTTCAGCGTTCAGCTCTGAAAAAACTTCTACACCGCCTCCTATTGCTACAGTTGTCTCACAACCTCAACAAAAAACACCCGTTGTTCAACAACAACCCAAAACAATGACATCAGCACCACCTGCAGTGGAAACACCGACTTTGAAACCAGAAACAACCGGAAAACTTCCGATTACTGAAGAAACCGAAGATATGATCGGGAATTTAGTCCGTGAAGAATGTATTACACTTGAACGCGAACTTCATGACTTACTTCAAAGTTGTTCGGCTGTTACAGCATCGATGAAAATCGGAACGGATACAGAAATGGCCGCCATGGCTAAGAAAGAACTTGAACTTGAAGAATTTTATTCTGCCATTAAAGATAACATTAATACACACGATTCTGAAGTGTATACTCTGAAACAAGCCTTGTTACAAACCTGGGCTTGTTATGAAGAAGCCTGCACACGTCTGAAAAGCTCAAAGGATCCTGTCACCAAAATTCTTCTACAAGCAATGCCTTTGGATCCTGCATCACAACATCAACTTGACGAAATGAATCGGATGATGTACTACATTGATTCGCAACTTACACAAGCGAATTTAAGCCTGGATGAACAATGGGATACTTTTCAGGACGCCATGATGAAAAGTGACAAACTTAAACTACCAACAATGGAATCAGTTTATCAATCTATGCTACAACATTCAAAAACACTACAAAAACAGAAATATATCTTAAAACATATCGCAGCGAAAATCAAAGCCACGAATAGAGCAAGAGATAAAACATTATTGAATGTAACAGCGGCGAATTTAGAAAGTGTCGGACACTTGGAAGAAGAATTGAGTAAGTTGCAGATTCAACAAGTTGCTGTTCCGCCATCTTATAATCGATTGATCGAGCGTCAATCCAGATTAAACCCGACAAAAATTAAGAAATTACAGGAAGTTTTATCAAATAGAACTAACACTTCAAGAGTAAGCGTATCAAAACCACAGTTGAATAACTCCACAGTGCAATTATCTACATTATTAGCTGCGCCATTATCTCCGATTGGTAAGAAACCCAGCGGGTTAATATTCGATAATAAATTGATTAATTCCACGCCGAAACCCAAACCGTTGACGGAGTTAAAGATGCCGAAAGTTCCTGTTCAGACTTTCACACCTACTACACAAGCATTTGGGCAATCTAGTGCTAATACTGCTAGTTTATCTAATATTACTCGAGGAACACCGACGAATTTGTTTGCGAAACCAATGCAAGTTCCAGCTACTACTTCAGCGACTATTGTACCAGTCCCTGGTCCTGGAAATACAAGTTCCGCGCCTGTTATAAGCACTACCGCGGCGTCAAACACTGGTTTTAGTTTTGCTGTTGTCAGTTCAGCTCCAGGTACGACTTTGTTTAAGAAAGCAGTTGCTCCTTCACCAGTGGTTAGCACTGTGTCTAGTGGATTCACGTTTGCTGCTGCTACACAAGTATCTACATCTCCGTTTGGTTTCGGTGCGAGTGTTTCGGATGTAAAACCGCCGAAACCTGCGTTACTTGCAACACCAACTACGCCTCCAGTTAGAACACCGTCGATATTTGGCTTAACGGCGGGTAATGGATTATTACCGGTGTCTACGAATGTTGCTACGAGTACTACCATTAAAGCAACAAGTAGTTCCTCGTTGTTTTCTAATACAGCATCAACAGGAAATATATTTGGAAATGCTTCTTCTGGTATGTTTGGAAAGAGTGGGACCGTACCAAGTGCACCAAGTAGTACGGGTAACAAGAAACAATCTATTTTTGAAATGACCGCTTCACAAAGTAATACACTACTAACACCTAAGTCTGTAGTAGGAACTGAAAGTGGTGGTATTAAGGCAGTACCATCATTTACAGCTGTAACTACAATTGCAAGTAGTAATTTTGGTGCTTTTGCATCACCATCACCAGCGACTACAACAGTAGCAGCATCCACGCCGTCTATCTTTGGAAATGTTTCTACAAGTGGGACATCATTATTTGCTCCTAAAACTACTACTGTTACTTCAACGACAAGTTTTGTATCTGCTAGCATGTCTACAACGTCGGTATCTACACCTGCGTTTAGTGGTACATCAGCGTTTGGCATACCTTTAACATCTAGCACTGCTGTTGTACCTCCAGCGCCTGTTTCATCAACTTTTGGTACTTCTGTATCTGCTTTTGGATCAATTTCAACTGTTCCCCCGGTAACATCAACGAAACCTGTGGATAGTCCTGCTCCACCTGCATTTGGTGTTGTTACCACTGCTGCTACACCTCCGCCTGCATTTGGTGTGGCTACAACTCCAACTCCGACTACTGTATCCACTCCACCGGCATTTGGTACAGTTACGTCATCTACTCCTGGATTATTTGGTTTAGTTTCGACTTCGTCTGCAAATGCTCCACCAGCATTTCCTACTGCAGCAGTTACCACATCGTCTACTCCATCTGTATTTAATGTGGTCACTACTTCAACTCCACCTCCTGCTTTTGGTGTTGCTACAGCTGCTGCTATATCTGCACCTGTATCAACTTCATCAGGTGGTATATTTGGTGGAATTGTTGCTTCTTCAGCGCCTACATTTACAGCAACCACAACAACATCATCTGCATTTGGAACAGGAAGTGTTTTTGGTTCTGCAAGTTCCGGTTTTGTTTCACCTCCTATCTTTGGTGGGGGTACAGCTACAACCACTGCAGTTACCACAGCAACATCTCCATTCGGAGCAACACCTGCATTTGGACAATCGACGAAATCTCCATTTGGTATGACATCAAACAACTCAGCATTCAGTAGTTCTGGAAATCTATTTGCCCAACCTGCGAAGTTTCCAACAAATGGGTCCATATTTGGTGGTGGGACTGTTTCCACAGCGACCACAACAGCACCCGCGGCTTCTACTGGTGGTTTTATGTCAATGCAACCTTCTGTATTTGGTAATGCTCCTGCTACCACCTCAATGCAACCGTCAGTATTCGGGAATACCCCTCTACCACTTCAGCATTTGGAGGTACCACTCCATTTGGTAGTACTTCTAATAGTCCCTTTGCTGCTGCAACACCACCAGCAACTACATCAGAAGCATCTCAAGGTTCCACAGGAGTATTTGGATCAACTTTTGGGTCTACTGGAACATTTGGTGGTGCACAGAGTCCACCCGCGGCAAGTCCATTCGCATCAACAGGGAATGTCTTTGGAGGTTTTGGTGGATTAACTGTTGGAGGAACAAGTACATTTGGGCAATCACCAGCTAGTCCCGCAGCTGCTCAAAACCCCTTCGGAGCTAAAGTCGAACAAAAATCATCGTTTGGATTATCCACTGCGAATATATTCGCAACTCCAGCTTCAACTGCATCTGGAGGTATTTTCGGATCACAAACATCATCGATATTTGGAGGTGGCACAACCGGATCAACGCCATTTGGTAGTTCACCTGGTTTTGGTCAAAGTTCTACCTTTGGAGCTGCAACTCCCTCTAGCCCAGGAGGAGTTTTTAGTAGTGGTGGTACTCAATCAGTTCAACAAGCTGGTTTTGGTAGTAGTTTTCAGAAACCAGCATTTGGAAGTGGTCCTGTCTTCGGGCAACCATCCGCATTTGGTGGGAATGCTAGTTTTGGATCACCGCCTGTTTTTGGAGGCGGTGCTACGTTTGGTAGCCCTGATAAAGTATTCGGAGGTGGTGGAGGATCACAGGAAGCAAGCAGCACGCCATTTGGAGGCGCAGGCGCGCAAAATTCAACATTTGGTAGCATAGCGCAACAGGACACAGTTGGTTTTGGTAATTTAGCACAGCAAGCAGCAACACCTTCATCAACACAACCATTTTCAGGGTAAGATATTAAATTAATACATTTATAACCTATAATTTTAATTCAACATAATTTCCAATGTTTTATTCTGTTACAGCGGTTCATCATTCACAAATTGGCGTAACTGATTCAATACACCCGGACAAAATGTAATGTTGATTTGAAATTCTCTAGTTAGATTGGTTTGTTTTTCGTATTATCATAAATTAGCGTACCAGCGTTTGTTGGTGTGTATTTTTAAATATGTTGACGCTATTATCCGACCCGCCCGAAACCAGATATTTATCGCTCGTCCAGTCAACGCACAGAACTTTACCCTGGTGTCCCTGTAGGTCGTAAAGTGGAGCTTTAGGACATCTAGTGTCCCATAGTTTGACACATTGATCATATCCGCCTGACATGAACAAATGTTCATCGTAATTAGACCAGCAAACGGCGGAAACCCACAATGTGTGCGATGTATATGTTGTTTTACAAACAGATCCTTCGGAGGATCTTGGGTCGTACATTCGAATATGTCTATCTGCTGACGAAGCTAGTATGGTGTTGGTTAATGGTGACCATGATAAACTTAGGAAGGCTTTTTGTCCAACTATTTCGGTTTTGATTCCGCAAAGCTAAAAGCAACATTTTTAACTTTTAAAATTTCAAGTTTAAATTAAAGTTACCTCAACGTCCCACACTTTAATAGTGTGATCCATACTGCTGGTTGCTACTGTACTATTATCCATCCATTTGGATCCGGAGATAGTCTCCTTATGTCCCTTTAAAGTATGCACCGGTGTGCGTACGGTGAGACCTTTGCTTTTCTTGTTTGGCGGTTCGTCGTCTTCTTGCTCTAACGACGCGCTCCATATTTTTAAGTTTGTATCCCAACCGCCGCTGACAAGTCGGGCGCTGTTTGGACTCACTGATACAGTGTCAATACCGCGTTCATGGCCTTTAAGGATGATTTTCGGGTGGACTTCTGTCGTGCCCGGCTCCCAATGCCAGAGAATCGCGGAGAGATCGTGTGAGCAACTGACGAAACCACCGCTTGGGTCACCCTTGCGCAGCCAGCTCACAGATCGGATGCAATTCGAGTGATTGTTGCCAATTGCTTGGTGTTTGCCTTTTGTTGTCCATATGTTTACTGTGTTGTCATAGCAACCAGTTAAAATCCTTCAAAATAATAAAATATTAACATGTTAAAATTGAAGAAATATGATGTAATTTTATGTTTTTATTTTAATTTCTTTACCATTTGTCTGCAACTTCAATTGCAGCTACCCAGTCATCATGCAATAAAGCATCTTCTGGTTGTGGTGCCGGCGTGCGTTCCACATACTCCACTTCAATGGTGGCTTCTGTGCTGGCATTCTTTTCTTGTAGATGTTCCAAGAGTGGTACTCTCAGCAATTCTCCAAGTACAAGAAAGTCAAACTCAATTGCTTTAAGAAATACAGCTACATTTTCCTTTAAAAGCTCATTGACCAGTTTATTCAGATTCTTTGTATCAATATTTGTTGGGACTGATAGAGGAACATCCGGGACTGCATGACTACAATTATTATTATTTAATACAGTTTAAAGAAGCATTGTAAACTTTTGTTTACACATAAAATTGAATGTATTTGATCTTACCTCTGTTGTTTTGTCACTAGTTTAATTTGTATTTGTGATTCTGCTAGTTCAGCAGTCATTTTTAATTTTAGACTGGGGATTATTCAAAAGAAAATGCTTATTTTATCAGAAACTTTAAAAGAAACGTGCACGGCGAAACAACGAGGTTCACTTCATAACTAGTTGAGGAATTTGAAGGTTAAACATTGAAAACAAACGTCGTAGTGATGAATAACTAAATAATTTGCTATAAAATTTAGTAAATAATTTAGTGTTTTTATGAAAAATAGTCTCCGAATATGGAATTATACTTAATTAGTGATTTAATTATTTAACATTTAGATTTAAAGTTTACGTTTTTAAATATAGTGTGTTGATAGTTCTCTAGATGGCGCTAGGATGCGCTTTTCAGCATTAAATTCTTGTTTGCGTGGTGGTAAAATTGCTTGTTGGTGTTCGTGACTTAACATGGAGTTAAATAGAGAAGTTGTGAAGTTGTGTCTATGTGAAGTTATATTTAACAGTATGAAGCGAGCAGAGATGACGCTAGGATGCACATATTTTCAATAAATTCGTTCAGGTGAGATCACGCGATGCATACAACGAATCGCAAGTATTCCGACTATCGCGATAACGTGTTTTATATTGTTTACATAAAGTGAATATATTTCACGAACATGTTGAAACATGTTGAAGAATTTAAAGCCAAACAAATCAAATCTAAACTAAATTTATATACTTTTTAACTTTTACATTTTTATCATTATAATTTAATAGTGTAATCATCAGAAAAAGTAATGAGTAATTCGTTATCACTAATTTTATTTTACGCTTAACTATAATACATGTCACTGGCTAGATATTAAGTAAAATTCATTAAAATATCAATTATCGCAAGAAATCTCAGAAATTCGTTCATCTAGGGCAAGAAATAATCCTGCAAGCAAATGCAATCACACAGTTATTAAATTGAATCAAACTTTAATTAATTATTGAATTACTTACCTTCGGCGATGCAGCATACCAACATTTATGTGTCTGGAAAGCAGTATCGCATACATCCGCTCCACCTAATAGTAAACAGTGCACAATGTAAATTATTTCGAATTCACATCCAAAACATCCAAATGTGGAAATTATTAAATTATAATCAGCTTACAATACATTTTGTACCTAAGCCTCCACATTATCAAAGTGGTAATAATCCTATTATGGGGATTAGTTACTTACGTTTCGTTCCGCATCCTCTGATAATTTTATTGGCGACGTCTTTCATCTCGTCGGGCATCATAGCAATCATACCATCTTCATCGATTACACCATCGTCATCAACCTGTAGGGATTAATTCATTTGAAGATACATTTCAGATAATAATTGCAATTCATTTCACTTTTATGTTAAAACTATTATTTACTTTATAATTGTTTATAATTGTACTTACAACAGCCATTTGGTCCATTAAACAATGCATATAACATTTCAATTTTGGATCGTCAGCAAATTCACCTTTTCTGCAGTTAACAATTGCATCTATTGAGAGAAAATTTTATTTTATTAAAAACTAGCTGTTGCCTGCGACTTCGTTCCGGCAGTGATTAATAAAAATGTAATTCGTTTTTACTCTCTTGTTCTAGACATACTCGTAGTAAGAGTCAATTCTATCAATAAGAATAGCAATTTTAATTTAAAGAAATTATGCATATAAAGTTTTCTCAATAATGAACTTCAGCGCGCCATCTCGAATTCAACTATTTAACTATAACTATGATTGAATCTCAATGTCAAATTTTATTCTATAGAAAAGAGCTGTTTTGAGGATTTTCCCGGCAATTATTCGAATTTTTCTCACCTTTTAAACCTTCCCTAGACCTCCACGAATAATTCAAGACCAAGATAAGATAAATCTGTTCAGCTGTTCTCGAGTTTTAGCGAGACTAACGAACAGCAATTCGTTTATATATATATATATATAGATAGATAATAATAATATAGTATAATATTAATAAATAATATGAGAGGTATTTATTTCCATTTTATATCTGTTAAACTCTGTTGAAAATACCACTGAGATGAAACCAGTCATCCTTATTGATTAATATTAATAATAGAAAAGAGGATTTGTTTGTTTCTTGTTTGTTTGTTCCGCTTTTATGCGGAAACTACTTAACTAATGAAAATGAAATTTTGCACACATATTTTTAAGATTATTGCAAAGATAATAAGATACTTTTTAATTAAAAAATCCCAATTTTTTTCACTTAAAATAAAAAAAAATCAACGCGAGTAAAGGCAAACTTTAAGTAAAAATTAGTGTTATAATAAATTGATAGTTAGTATAAATACTAAATATTATTTTTTTATATTTACCTTCCGAAGCACCGGTTTCATCCTGACAAGTATGATGTAACATATTTGCCAATTCCAACATTTCTTCCGGAATTGCCTAAAACACATTATTTTCTTTACTATATTAACCATATTCTTAGAATAAATATTAGTTTAAACTTACAATAGAATGTTTAATATTATTCAAAGCCACAAAACTAACAAACACAATCAACGCTGTTGTTTTAAACGAAGCCATGGTTTAAATAAATATAACTAGTTTCACTTTCGAAATGCAAAACAATAGAATAAGTAAATAATCCGAAGCGAATTAATCGTTTTTATATACTTGGTAGAAACATCCCTACTCATTGGATGCGCTGCGCTGATTGTCGTTGATTAAGTTGTGTGTGTGTGTCTGCTTCAATTTAATGTCCGACTATGATTATCAAGAGGTGTAATTATCGGACATTCGTTGAGAGTTTGAGAGAATGTAAAAATACGAGAGGATTAATTAAACGTTGAGGCATAGTGTGTTTGCTATTTTTATGTCTATATATTGTGTAATTAAAACAATGTAATTATTTATTAGACAGATCACAGGAATTTGGTAATTATTAATTAAAAAATTAATAATGGATGAAATTACTATGAGATTTTAGCATGATAACAAAAAAATGAATGAATTTATTATTTTTTAAAGTTATTTTATAAAATTGCTGCTAGAATATAATTTATTTTAGTTTATGTTGAAATATAATTGATTGTTCTTGTATTGCTCTATATTTTAAAATAAGAATGGTTCGATTATCTCTTTTGGTTTAAAAGATATAGTTGAATTTAATTCATTTATAATTTAATTTCAATTTATTTGATAAAATTTTCATTAATTTTCACTTTTATCTTTCAATTATACTATTGCATTTTCTGTAATTTTAAACAATAACACTGATAAATTTGATAACACCATATGTGGTAAAATTGAAATAAAATAGAAACTAAATTATAAAAGAGCAATTACTTTATCAAAACAAATGTTAAATTAACGTAGTTGCTCCGTATATAATTATTTATTTTCATTTTATAACGTGTTGTTACTTATTGTTTAATTAAACAAACTAAACATCTAATTTGCATTATCAACTGATGAAAATAAATAAATATGTATAAATCTAACTCTTTGAGTTGCGCGTAGATGGCGCTAGGATGCACTTCATTGCAATAAATCCCCGTTTGTTGGTACAGTAGAATCTTGATAACTCGAATGTCAAGGGAAACCAAAAAAAATTCGAGATAGCAAGTTTTCGACTTAACAAGAATTTCGAGATATGAAGAGTTAACTCATCAAATTTCGACATAAAAAGGCAGAATTTCATAGAACATTTATTTATTTAATGAACTTCGACTTACTGAGGTAGGAATTTGCAGTTCGAGGTACTGAGTATTAAAATGTACGAGTAATGCCTCACAGGGAAATAACTTATTGTTCGAGTTACTGAGTCTAAAAAATTCGAGTTACTGCGTCGTTCGGGGTTCGGCGGAAGGGAATAGCATATCTTTTCGATTTACTGAGGATTACGACTTAACAAGGTTCGAGTTATCAAGATTCTACTGTATCTGTGAGATCACGCGATGCGTCGAACAATCTGCACGTATTTCGACTATCCGATAACCATTTTTATCATGTTGACATCAAAACAAACATGTTTCCCTGCGGTATTGGATAAAAATTTAAAAGTAAAATCAAAACACACAAAATATAGTTTGTATATAGTTTAGTATATATTTTCTGAAGTCTAAATATGAATTCCGCGTCGCTCTGTTGTATTCACTTGTGTTATGTTTAAATGATTTTGTAGTAACGCAACGTGCACCCCAACAAATTAGCTGAAAAATCGTGCTTAAGTTATAGAAATTTGCATTGCAATTTGTAGGCATGTTGGGTTGCATAATTACAACAATATTTCAAATTTTACCATTGATGTTATGTCTTTGAAAAAATATTCTAGGTTATAATCGCTACAAATGTAAATATTTAGTACATAACATAAAATTTTAGTGTTTTTACATCAAAAATGACATTATTTTTATTCAAATACAAAATTCTTTGTAAATCATAATTTCAAGTAACGTAAACACGAATTCCTTATGGTTTTAGTATAAAACCACAAGTTTTTATTAAATACTAACCTAAAAAACGCATTTTTTTCATTTTTTCACTTTAATGCGTAAAACATTCAATTTTTAATACTCACCACTTTTAATCACTTTCCAAACTGCTTAAAACTTTTAATTTACATACGTAATACAAAGTAAACAATATTTTTATTCATTGTCATGTTTCTAACACGTGTGCCATTTTTTTCTTTCTATATTTCAATATTTTGTAATCGACGGAAGCACGCGCACGACGCTTTTCAAATGACATTCATTTACTCACTGTAATGAATTATCATTAGTTGAATTACACGATGATTAATGTTTTCATTGTCATAGTCGTCATCGATGTCGCAGACATGTAAAAATCCAATTCGGAAAACAGACTTATTTTATTCTATTCTATTCATTTAATCTAATATAATTCTAAAAATATAATATAAATGCGCGTAAATCATTCAACAGAAATATAAACACAAGATATTTTATATTTATTGACATCATACATTTATTTTCCTCCAGTCGATGAAATCAAATCGACAAAATTCTCGTTTTACAAATAACATTTTCCATAAATTACATAAACTACATAAAATATTATTAATAGATAGAATATATTTTTTGTACAATGCCATACAAACGGTACAAATATATATTTTGTATTTTTATATTATTATTATTTTATTTTATTCTAGAATAAATAATAATAATAATAATATTGGGATATTATTTTACTATTATGTTAATATATTTACTATTTAAACATTTTACTATATTTAATAAATATTTGCCGTTAACTATTTACTTAATTAATAATTTAGATTGCATTACTTTCACTTGTGAATACGTAATCCATTGTAATATTTTGAAATATTTATTTATAAAATTTTACGTGATTTTATTGGATTTTACAATTTTACACTCATTTAAACACATTTATGAAGTTGCCCTCAGGGCGAAACATGTTAACTCAACATTTAAAATTGTAAAATACAATAAAATCACGTAAAATTTTATAAATAAATATTTCAAAAAAATAATTTAGATTGCTTATAATAAATTAATTTAATTCCCTGTATGTTTGAACATGTGTTGCATGTTTTACATATATTAAGAAGCAAAAGCTAGGTTTATAAACTATTTTGATCTATTTTAATGTTTGTGATGAGTCATTCCGCTGGAAATAAAAGAAAATATTTTAGTATTAGGAAAGTAAAAAGATTTGTAGCAGCGATCGATGAGTCATAATTGCACTCTGGTGAATTCCGCGCAAAATTGGAAAATACTCGCTGCATGCAGTCAAGTTTTTTCAACGTGAGTGTACGCATATCTCTCATAGTTGAGCCAATCATATTACTTCAGTACCACGCAGATATTGGCAATAGAGTATGCTTTACGCTATGATTTTACGCTATTTGTAACGTAAAAACGCAAAGACAAAAAGATTCGTATCGGTAATCGGATTTTGACGATCTAGTTCGGGTAAGATCGACGCGGCGAACAGATTAGTCAGTGTAGTGTAACTTTAGGGTAGAAAGTTAGCTGCAGTTAGCGTTATCTATCTATATATATAAAATTTGCGTGTCACAGTGTTTGTTTCCATACTCCTCCGAAACGGCTTTACCGATTTTTACCAAATTTTATATGCGTATTCAGTAGGTCTGAGAATCGGCTAACATCTATTTTTCATACCCCTAAGTGATAAGGGTTGTTCACCCTTAACTTTTTTTTAAATTTTTGGACAAATTTTTTTGTTTTTATTTTTTTTTATAATGTGGAATTAAAAAATACATACAACCCTAAATTTTTAGTTTTTTATTACCAACCCCTATTTCTTTATAGCCATTTTAGTAATTTAATCATTTTTCATCCCGCTCAAAGAAAATTTTTATATGCGTATTCAGTAGGTCTGAGAATCGGTAACTTCATATCTCTAAGTGATAAGGGTTGTTCACCCTTAATTTTTTTTTAATTTTGGTCGAAATTTTTTGTTTTTATTTTTTTAATGTGGCATTAAAATATACATACAACCCTAAATTTTTGGTTTCTTATCACCAACCCCTATTTTTTATAATAAGTAAGTTACTTTTTGTCTACACTAAAATTTATCTAGAAACTTGAAATAATTTACATGGCAAAACAACGTTTGCCCGGTTAACTAGTACTCGTATAATATGTGCATATTAATGATGTATTTTGGGTTGCGCACTATTTGTACTAGGTTACTAGTCGCAAAAACGTCTACACTGCAAGAAGTTGTGTGTGCAGGAGCTTTGTCGATTTCACCCGAGTGCCATCGTCAATCATCGAGTTAGGTGATACGAATCTTATTGTCTTTGCAAGTTACGACTTCAGCAGCACTAAAAAGCAAACGTGTTGAGTTTAATCGCGTCAGCTATAGATTGGCACTATTCAGAGAGTCGGCGTCTACATCTGCGCTTGCGCAATCTGTTTTATCGTCACAACAACGACACGAGCTTACGTTTATCAAGTAAAACACGTAAAACACGTAAAAATTGATTAATTATTGTTTTGCCACTTGTTTACCGCGTTACTTTTAAATACTCATTATATTCTCTATAATTATCTCCAACATCTACAACTATTCAATAAAATAATTAAAAATAATTAAACCTTTTTTCAAAAGTAATAACTGTTTATAAATTTTGAATTTTCATTCAATAAAAGTGAAATACAACCCGTAATAAGGTAAAATTATAATATTAGAACATTTCATTGTCTAAATATGTAACTTTTAAGTTTTCACATCAAAAGTAACTCGATCAATTTGCTTTTATCTAATCAAACAAGCGCTGTTTGCTTCACGGCACAAAATTCATCCATCAACATCGTCGATGGATATCACCCACCTATCAAACTCCGCTCAGAGCGTGTGTGAAATTTTATATTCCGTCACGTGTGAAATTTACATGGAAATGCGTTTTCCACCGCGTCTCTTCTGTAAACGCACGCGTGCGGAAACATTCTACATCCACTTCCGGTGCGTAATAGCGCTTTAATTAACGTATTATATTACTAAACTAATAATTTATCAATGTGCGTTTATTTACTTTTATATAGGCAACCCAATTCGCGCTAAAAATATTTCAACGCTGGTCTTTTGTCGCATTATTTGCAAGTCAGCACACTTCCACTCACGAATGAACAGTTTGCCAAAGTAGACATCTCGAAACCTTTTAAGATTGCATTATGTGAATTCTCGATTTCTACGATTTCAACACACTATTTCTCTTTTTGTAGTACCTAGATGCGCTGATAAAAGCATTCTCCGGACGTGTACGGCTTTTATTCCTTTCGATATCTGTTTTCATTGAAAATTCTGCTTCCATCTCTCGACGTCCTTTTACGCCGTGCCGTGTGCATTGTCAGCTCGCTGAATGTAATCAATTTATTTTTGTCAGGACACGGGTCAAAACCTTCCCGGACGTATGAAAATGATACACGTGCTTAGAAATGAGTGCCAGCAATGCAGAAAGTCATCGTGCGCATGAAAAGCGACAAACGCGTAATGAGGCAAGTTTATCATTTCGTGCGCAGTCATCAATGGCATGATTAATTGACATTGTTCACGACTAAAGTGACAACCACGCCAACAACGTAAGTATCGCTTTCAAACGACTCTCGACGCCGAGAAGAAGATGCTAGAAAGCAAACGCAAAGATATTGAATATCATGCGTATGCGTATAATATTCTAACCTAAAATAATATAACATAACATAACATAACCTAGAAATATTGAACTTACTGTTATTTGTGGGTTTATTTATACTTCCGCATAGGTATTGGAGCGCATAAGTTGCATACATTCCGGATTTGTTGTCGGGCGTCCATTTGCGGTGGTTTCAATCGTCGCCATGCCGCCCCCGCCGCCTCCACACGCGGGTGTTGCGCGCACGGTCGACGCTCGCTGCAGTCATACCATGCGTATGCTTGTGCGGTTGCCTGAACTATTGATGATGAATACACCGCCGGAATGATCGCCCCCAGGGGCGGCGTATCGAGACCACCCGCCGATGCTTAGTCGCCGGCGTAGACAACGCGCGATTGCTTGGTGTACATCTTGATTGGCGAAGCAGAACAACACCGAAACGCACAAACCCTGTGGATTTAATATTTATATCGTTAAAATTAATTTTGGAGATTATTTATGCATGATCACGTATAAAACAAAATTAATTTCAGATCAAACGTGTTTTTGAATATTATTTCGTTAGGATACACAAACACACTGTATGTGTTTGTATATAAACGAAAAAGGGTTCGGATGAAAAATTCCACGCCAAAGAAAATAAACAAAAATTCAATTACTTATCCACTGCCCTAATCCTATTTCCCATTTTCCAATAAATATTTTAATGGTGGGTTATATTAACGATAGGCAACCAGTTATACACGAAATATTATAGGTACCTGTAAAGATGTAATGACCACTGTAAGATAATCGTAGAGATACGCGAATTTGTGTTCGGAATCTGGCCGAAATGGGATGAGCATATATTGTAGACCAAACAATGGGATGAGAATCAGTGTGGCTCTTGCAGCACGCTTCGCGCGCAACGGCGCTGGATTTTCCGAGTTCGGATTCATTATGTTGACGATCACGCGAAGCACGTAGCACAAGAATACTGCGAATCAAAAGTATATAAAATTTAATTCTTTTCAACGTAATTGAGGTTAGGTACTCACTGAAGGATATCGCGAGCGTGATCCACACCGGTATGCTGTAGATTAACACAGCTGGACTTGGTAATAACCAACAACTAAAGAGAAATTTAAAAAATATATAAAAATAATCAGGTTATGTTTTTGAGGTTAACTTACAAACGAGTGTCTTGTAGGTAGACTATCCGTACAAATGCGTAGATAGTTATGACCACAAACGGAATTCCCCAACCAATCAGAACGAACCATATCCAGGCGACGTTGTCACGCACAAAAACAACCACTAAAGAGATGTGGAGATAAAGTCCCTCGCAGAACATCCACATGTAGTTGGCGACGAGGAAGTATTTCAGAAAGATTTCTACTGCTTGACACCATAACTATTGTGGACATAGGCAACACACATTACACGTTTTTATATTTTTGACATATTTTTAGTACTTTTTATTGGGAAATTCAATTTATTTGATGAAATGTTGTAAAATTTGCATTTGTAGCTTTGGGGAAATAATAATTAGGAAAAGTTCTACGCGTAACTTTTTTAATTTGTGGCGCTAACTCAATGCTGTCGGTTTAATTTATGCGTAAAGGATGTCATCCTGTTTAATCTACTCCAGGACGACCACGACTTTGACACGCATGTTCTACGATGTGAGATTAACTGATAAAGTAGAATTCTGTTTTATCTCATGTTGAATCATCTCTTTTAGTTGTTTTGATCAGTGTTACTTTGTAGTTTAACTTCAAAATGGCGGTTTATTGATTAAATTTACTAAAAAACTTTAAAATAAACGAAAATAAAAGCATTATTTTGTTTTTAACGCTTAGATATTATTAAAAACTATAAAACAAATTAATTTTGGATAAAATTATGCGTTTTTGTGTTGAAAATTCATTAAATATTATTAAAATGGCGCACAAAACCTGAATGGAAGAAAATACGCGGTTGTGGCTGGACTTTCCGGATTATATTCATCAACGTCAAGAGTAAAGATGAGTGAACATCGTTAAATGCCTCCCCGGCTCGCCGGCGCGCCTGATTGAACAACCTGAACGACCGAAACGAAATTGCGCCGCGTAATAACTTCCTCGAAGGACGAACACTAGGACAAATTGATATTTCTCGACAATAATTCATAAAATCAAAAAATTCAACGCAAACATCATTATAAATTAAAAATGAATAACAAAAACATCTCAAAAACGTATTTTTTAATAAAAAACATCAAAAAATTCACTTTTTGTGGATTTTACGCAGGAAATAAAAAACGAAATAAACAGAATTACGAATGACCAACATGATCAAAGACTCCAACAAATATCCAGCAAAGAATACGTCCCAAGGGTCTCCATGAGTCCGAAAAACATCAATTTCACAGATTCCGTTTGAAGTATTTGGTCAGTGCGGCGTTTTTACGTAAACCAATCTTGTTTTATGTTGCTATTAACACTTTGCATCAAAAAAGAAGAGGAAAACTATTTTATGCTGAACATATGCAACTTTCAATGCTTGTTTATGGTGATTGATATATACGGATACGTGCTTTTGTGACTTACCGGATTTTCACTGCGCAATTCACTGGATCTCGGGATTACTTCAATGTACCATATTAACCACATTATATTATTCATTATAAACGACAGAAACAAATGGATATGTAGCCGGATGCGTGTACATTTCAATGTGCTGTAACATATGCAACCAAATATTCATATAAATATTACATTTCACATACACAATGTGTTTGAGGTTTTATTTTTATTTACTTACCGAAAACTGAGGAATATTATTAAACTGATAATCAACGCCACTAGAGATATTGAGTATCCAATGACAAACCATCGATTTATGGTCATATGAAACTAAATTATTAAAAAATTAAGATTTTTGTATTTTAGTAGAAATTTAACGAAAAAATAATTACTGCTAGTTTATCCTGAGCGATACATTCAGTATAGTTTGTCCAATGGCCGAAATTACTTGAATTTGGATGAATGAACCACGTGCCGTTCGGCCAACATTCTTTATGCATCAATTTGTGTTCCAAAAATGTGGGTAGCTTGGGACATGGCGCACTTACGACGGTCCCGCCAGGGGTCGCTTCCCAGCAGTGATGTAAACCTTCGAATTGTGTGACTACAGGTGGACAAAAGCCTTCAACTGTGGAATAAATGTCAATAAATCAATATATTTTGCGTTATTTTTATTTATGTGTAAGAATTGACTTACTATAAGTGCTATTTTGGCATTTTTCATACGCTATTCGTCTGTTTTCTAATTTTTCTTGGTCGTCGAGCATCTTGTTGTTAATACATCCGTAGTTTTAATTAATAATAAGTATTAATTACAATCTGTAACAAAAATATTGTATTTTTAAAGATTTTATGTTGTTTTGGTTGCCTATATAACAATATTGCGTTTATTCGCTTTTCTTTTGACTTTAAGCTTTAAGAAAACATAATTTATTATTAAATTACTTAAAAGGGCATTATATATTAATTTAACTGGAATATTTAGTTAATAATAGCTTTATTCCTGGTTATATTAAGTTGCATTCATTGTTACATTACATTCAATGAGTTTTACTTCAATGAACGTAAAAAACGTGTGGTTAAAACCTCAAAACCAAGCATTTCGTTAATTTAATTGCTTCATTAAAAATAAAAACACACAATGTGATTGAGGGTTTCTAACTTTAATGCCTGTGACATACCTTTTTGTCCACAAATAAAATTTAATGAGAAAAATGACATATTATTATCAAGAGCATATATGGGGCTAGTTTTTAGTATAAATAAAGAATTTTTTCATTCAGGGATATCAGTTGTATCTGCATTTACCAACTTATATCAACAAATACGTCTACCAGCTACATAAACTCAAAAATGAAGGCATTTTTGGTTGCAGCTCTTTTCATTCAATGCGCATTGGTGAGTTTTATTAATATTTTAAGATTTTATAGTTTTTAATTTTTATTTTTGTTTTCTGTTTGGTTCTAGTTTGTTTCTTGCGACTTTAACGATCCAAAGTGGAAGGCGCTGCGCGCAAAGTGTGTTGGGTTGACTGGCATGGACGAAACACACATTCATAACGCCAAGCAAGGCCAATTCACTGTTGATGAGACTTTCAAAATGTACTTGAAGTGTATCATGGACGAAGAAAACTTGGTAAAGTCCTTTAAATTAATTAAAATCATTAGCGAATGCGTCACGTGCATCCAAGTAACTGCAACCAACATTACTTCACAGCAAGTGTAGTGTTATTGTCTTAAAACGAATACTCGGTTGCATATAATAATTAAATCCACAAATTTTTGTTGTTTTTAATTTAATTTAATATTTATGTAATAAATAGTGGCTGCCAGGTGGAAAAGTGAACGTTGAAGCCTTGATGGAGGCCATTCCCGAGAAATTACTTCCAATTTTTGAGAAACCAGTGAAGGAATGCATCGATGAAGGTAAAAACAATTCATAAACAATTACATAAGCGGTAATTATGTGTATAATTGACAATTTTAGTTGAGCACGATCCGGAACAACACGAATTGGCCTACAAATTGACAAAATGTGTTTACGACAAAACTCTTGACGTAAGTTTAAAAAAAAATCATCAAAAATTAGTTTTACTTAATTTAAACTAAAATTATTTATTTTTAGAAATTTGACTTGCCCTGAACAAGTTATGCAACCAAATATAAACGAAAATAAGATGTCCACCAGTGCAGCAAACAAAATGGCTACGTATATTATTAGTTTTAATGAATTCACTTGATTGCAAGGCGCCGCAAACAAATTAACGCATATCGTCGATAACATAATGGGAAATCGTACGGATGAACATCAACACAGCACGTGGAAGATGCGATGTTGCAGATTGCATTTCTAAATTTAATCTCGACCGCCGCAGGAATCAGGATGCCACGTGACGTGCATGGAAAATGTTTCAATTTACACGCATCGCGCCTTCTTCGTACTTATATTACGTCTTAAAGGTGGGCGGATAGATGAATCGCAAATATTTGTTTGTCGGGTTTTGCAATTTGTATTAGAATATTAGAAGTAATGAAAAATGCACAATAAATAATATAATACTCAAACTTAATAATTAATATGTTTATTTTATTATTACCCTTTGAGTATGCAACCAAAGTAACATTGTATGTGTTTCTGGTTGCATATACTTATAATTTGGTCTAAAAAATTGTTTGAAATTAATTTTTTATTTAATTTTGAATGTTTCAAGGAGAAATAATCGATAAATTCATTAAATAATACGTTTAATATTATTATTTGAACAATTTCTTAAAAGAATTCATCTAATTTTGTCATATTTTGTATTTTTAGTTTTATACACTTATGAAATGACCTAAAATGAACTAAAAACAATATTTTTTTGCTTAGAACGCTATTAAAATCACTAATTATTAAATAAATAACTAAATAAATATTTTAAATGCTTTTATTTGATGATTCTCCTAAAAGTATGCAACCAATATATCACATCTTGTACTTTTGGTTGCATACACTTAAGAAATTACCTAAAAATAACCTCAAACTATATTTTTAATCAATTTGAACTCTACTAGATTAATAATTGATAAATAAATAAATATATTCATTATTTTTTATACACCTTGATAGTATTCATTAGGATTAGATGCTCGAGTGCTTTCAGATCGCTATGATTGATTGACACCGATTCATTACCAGCATTGAATATGTAAATTTTCCTCTTGAAATCAAAAAGCGCGTGTGCGGGTCACGACTCACGAGTTTTTTCTTCTCTCGACTCTCTGGCCTTGATTTCAGCTCGTTGATTGTGTAGATGTTGTTCAACTCTAAAATCTGTTTTTTTTTTCGTTCATCTAGTGCTTGTTCAATTTATCTCACAAATGACACCATATTTTTTAAATCGGCGATGTGTATTTGCGAACACCAAAAACAATTAACGGTAATTCGACCACTTACAGAACTAAAGACGCTTAACTTCGCACGCAAGCAGCGCGCGCAAGTATAAAACACAGGCGGTGCGAAGATTTGGGCATAGTTTGTTCTTTGCAAGCACATAGAAACAACCACTAAATATTCAAGATGTTTAAGCATACTTTGATTTTGTCTGCTGTGATTGCCTGCGCTTTGGTAAGTAATAAAAAATGTTTATTTTTGTAATAATTAATTAATTACTCATTAACTACATGAAAATTAATAATTATTTTTGTTTTAAATAATTTTCTATTATTTTTTAAACGTATTTAAGTAAACAATGCATTTTTAAAATAATTATTAAAAAAGTTATAAGTAAATTAAGTAATATTTGTTATAAAATTGTACAAAATTAAATTGTTGTATAATTTTCTTGATTACTCAGTATATAAATTAATTTCCGGTAAAATTTCAATATAATTGAATGCAGAATTTAATAATAAATGTATTTCTATGAAAATAATTGATTTATCTATTTTTATTCGCAAGTTATTAATGAAAAACTAATGGAAAACAAATTTTATTATTTTATAGGCCTGGACCATCCCAGAAAAATTCCAACCTTTGGCCGATGAAGTTATGGAAAAGTGCTCCAAGGAAACCAACACACCAGTTGGTAATATCTCATTTTTATTATGTTGTAATTAGAAAATTAATAAATTTGTTTTTAGAGTTAATCAAGAAAGTACGCGCCGCAACTGAGCTCCCAGCTAAAGGTTCCGACGATGAAGCCAAATACAAGCCATACATTCATTGTGGATTCGTACACACCGGTGTTGTTAGTATTTTAAACATGATTTTTATTATTTACTAGCTTTAACCCGCGGCTTCGCTCGCGAATATCTAAAATAATGAAGTTGCTTCCGTACGCGTCTGTAGTCACAGAAGAAGTAACAATGAAGTAGAATGGCGGGAAGTTTAAAATGGCTGAAAGTATAGTCTATGGAAGTATAGTGTACAGTCTCCATAGTGTAGTCAATTAGATTTGATGTTGACGTAGCTGTCGGTAATACAGTGTGATAATACAGTGTGATGGTACTATAGTACTTAGGTTTGAGCTTCATTGCTGGAATGCTAGATGGCGTTAAAGTAGTCAAATAGACAGGTGCAGAGGTATTATTGGCTAAACAATTTCTTTATTTTAATTTTTAAATAATTTTTTTATTACATAAAAAGTAGCCTATAACCATTCGGGGACCACTAAGAATATGTGTACAAATTTTCATGATGATCGGTTTAGTAGTTTTTGCGTGAAAGTGTAACAAACATCAGGACTTTCGCATTTATGATATTAGTAGGGATTTAATATGTAATATTGTAAAATATGATTTTTATTAACTTTATTGCGCTTTTTCAGTTCAAAAATGGCGTTTTCGACGATGCTGTCGCTGATAAACTGATTGAAGGCCTTCAAGAGATTTACAACAAGCCTCTGCGTGCTTGCAAGAACGAACGTAAGTAAAAATTACACTTCTGATCGGATTACCATTTCAGAATCCTTGAAAATTTTCGTAAACACAGTTTTTATTCATTTTTATTTATTTATATGAATTTGTTTTGCGTTTTTGTTAAAATAGGTGCTGATAACGATGTTGACTCTGTCTGGAAGATGATGCACTGCTTCTTGGAACATGTTGAAGACGTGAGTGTACAGATTTATTCCTTAAATGTTTAAAATTAAAATTTTTGTGATTTTTATTAATTTTATTGATTTTTTTATAGAAAAAACATTTCTTCATCTATTAAACATTCCTGGCAAACCTGATGAGACGATTACAATTCGAGATATCATTTAAATGATTTTAATATTTTAATTTATATAAATTATTTATTGTTAATCATTTAATTTAAATAAAAAACCTAAAAAACGTAAAAATCTTTATTTTTTTCTTTAAAATTTTCATAATTTTAGTAAATATAAACGTTAAAACCTCGCACGTGTTTGAAATTGTTTATAATATATTGTTTTCTATTCAAATTTAATATAAATAATAATTTTATGCCTTAAAATTATACACGTGTACTGTTATTGTTTCAGTTTCATTAAATTCACGAATCAGAAAATAATAAAATAAAAATATACAATTTCTTTCCGCAGTAATAAGTTATTACTCTTTTCCAGTTTAATTCATAATCATTTTGCAGTTTTCTATTCATCTAAATTTAACCACAAATTAAAAACCGTTTAACCCTTCTACACCACAGCATTTTGTATTTATATAAATAGTATCAAAAAGACTTACGAATACGATTTCGATTACATTTATTTCTAGCTAAATAACGAAAAGTTTTATTACGTTTAATTTAAACTTGTCGCGCAATAAACGCGATAATGTGCGGACACAATTTAATTAAACTTGTGACACTTTTTTGCTGTCTACTAGCAGCGAATGTAATTTATACATTTTTTTATATATACATGAATAAAAGCACGTAAATTAATTATTTTAGTCCTGGAAAAATGTGCCGGAGGAATTCATGGAAATCGGTAATGTTGTTTCGGAAAAATGCATTGGAAAAGTGCCAGTTTCCAAAGGTTAGTTTTCCAAATATATTTAAATTGAAATTGTGCTTTCTTTGCAATTTACTAAATGTTTTAAAACAGATAAAAACTTTGAATGGTAATAAATATTCACTTAAATTCGTAAAGTTTAAATATTTCCAAACTAATTTTCATGAAAACTAAAAACATAGTTTAAAAACTAAAAAGAAAAGTTTTATAAACCCTTCAAAATTTAAATTCATTTAAAACTTTGAACTTGCTTTCTTTCGTAAGTAATTGTGGTAATAACTTCTGTGCACTCTCAACAACTTTGCCATTTGCAGAAATAAAAGCATTTTAAGAAGATTAATCATAAAAACTAGTAAAATGTACTTGAAATTATGCCCCAAGTTAAAAATAACCTAAAAAAAGAAAGAAATCTGTAATGTACGTACAACTCACAAAAATGACAGCGTTGAATACTCTACTGCCATCTATACAAAACAGCGTGAAATATTTGAACCAAAAATTAATTACTTATTTTTTATTTTTAGAAACTGTGGCAAAAGCAAGAGATTTAATTTTTCCTGAAACAGGAACCGAAGAAGAGAATCACTATAAATGCTATTTACTGTGCATCTTCCAAGAACTTGGCGTTGTAAGCATTTAAATTGATGTGGCAGAATGTGTACATCAATGTTAATGTAATTAAATACTTTTATATTCTAAAAATAAATCTCTTTAGTGGGGTGATGGCGTCGTTGACGTCGTCAAACATGAAATGGCATTCCCTCCACATCTACGTGAAAAGTATAATTCAAGTCGTATGAGTTGCAAAGGCACAAGTATTATATATTAATATACCTAATATACAATGTGTTAAAATTAAATTTACATTAAATTATTTTTAGAAGGTGCAAATGATTGCGAATCAGCTTTCTTGACAATGGAGTGTTACAAAAACCACGATCCAGACGTGAGAATCATTAACTTGTTAGTTTTTGCCAAGTCTAATTATTTTCTTTGCAGAATTACTTTATTTTTTAAGCAATGCAATATAAATACCGAGTGGAAATTGAGCGTACGCACGTAGGCAACCAAATAAACATAATGAGCGTTCATTATTTTGTTATTCAGTTAGTCAACTGGAAATTAACTAAAGTGAATACTTTCCAGCACACTAAACATACGCAAAAGGAAATCGAAACCTATGATTTACCAATTACAAATTATAATAACGTATTATATATTGTAAAATATAGAGATTTCTGTATTTTTATATTGTATCAATGCTAAACATTTTTATTTTTATGTTTTAGACTTATATAAATACGAATTGTTAATATTTATGTCATTTGCATATAGAGACAGTGGTTAATCTTGTGGTAAATAAAGTATAATGTATAGTGCAATGTGGATAGTTTTATTAATTTGTGTTTTATCACAATTTGCGGTAAATTTTTTAAAATAAAAATTCATTTTTTGTTAATATCTCAGAAGTTATAAGAGTTATTTTAATTATTTCTTCAGAAATTAATAATAAATTAGTTATTACTTTATTTTCTATAACTTTCCATCGTTAATCTTTGTTAAAACAATGTTTAATTGACTTTAAAAGTTTGAATCACAGAATTTTATAATAAAAAGTAGTGAAAAACGAATTTTAACACTGAAAATTTTACTTTTTCAACAAATTAACCCATTATTCAACTCCAAAAATCTAATTATACGTTTGTTACAGATGGGAGCTGAAGTTCCCGAAGCCCTTCGAGAAATGGGCGACGTCCTGCACGCGCATTGCGTTGGCGAAACTTCTGTCGCTGAAAGTACGCAGATCAATCATACTCAAACCCAACTAATAACTAATATTCAATAAAATACATTTCTGAGTAACAAACAATCAAACAAACTTATTACAACAAGTTTATATTGTTTCTACTTCAAACTGTAAAAGACACACTTGTCACGTACTCGAATTTCGCGTTGTTTATGCAATAACTTTATGTGATAACACAGTTCGTGCTAATAGTGTAAACCGGAAGTCTTAGACTTAGCACATCCCTTCGGCACTATCAGTTTTCGTGATAATGCTCGCGGCAAACAATTATACAACACGCGAATCGAGTTTCCGTTGAGTTATATGTGTACAAAATAATTGCGTAATGTAAACTATGTTTACACACGAAAAATAAACAATCCTGAAACTAAATGTTATGTATTTGGTTGTAGGTCTCATCGATGATGCGAAGAAAGGCGTATTTTCCGAAGAGAAGGCTTTAAAGTGTTATTTACGTTGTATTTTCGAAGAAACATCAATGGTAAACAAACAATTTAATATTTAAGTAGTTAGTATATTTTAACGCCGCTAGAGGGCGCTAGCAGTACGAAATCGCAAGTTTTATTCTCGATATTCTTGTTTTTTGTTTTGATTAGATTACGGACGATGGCCGATTCGATGCCGAGGCAATGCTTGGTGTTCTACCACCTGAGGTAAGAACTAATCTCGAACCGACAGTCACCTCGTGCGCGGCGAAAGGTAAACAGTGTAAAATTTTGTTTCTACGTAAATTATTATAATAAAAATTGAATTTAAAGTGAATCCGGGCGCAGATGAGTGTGAAACAATCTGGTTGACGGTCAAGTGCTTCTACGAGATGGATCCGAAGGTAACGATTAACGATTTGATTACTAATTACTAATTACACTCATTAATCACGGATCGAATTAGAGCGGAAGCGTAACTTTATTTATTATTAAATGAATAATCCCATTTTGTACCGCCGGATGATTTAGCCCATAGATTTAGGTTTTGGTAGAGTCACAGCAGAGTTTCGATTAATTTTAATCTTTGTTTACAAACAAGAAGTGTGTGATTTATATTCATGTCTTGTTTCTTTTTATTTCAGAATTATTTCATGTTCTAGTACGAGATGCGTAAGGTAGGATGATTTAATTTATAGTAAATTGTTTGTTTTGTTGTATTATTAAGTGTAATGTACTTTATTGTTAATACCAGTGACATATTAGTAAATAATTGCAAGTTTTTTGAATGTTTATGTTTAAATTATTATAACTCGGTTGATTTTTATTGTAGAGTTGAGTATAGTATAATTAGAAAGAGAATTTAAATAACTACAAGTTACGTTACGAATTATTTTGTTTATTATAGTTTTTATTGTTTAAATTTTCGAAAAAAGTTTTTAAAAAGTCAATTTTAGGAGTTTATACAACTGCATATGAAAGTATGGTTGCCTACATTACCATAAACTCAACTAAGCTTCGCTGTCCTCCACTTCACTTGCATAATTGTCAAATTTGCATTTCTAACCTCTAAGCATCGCGGGGATTTTCATTTAGTCGGCGTTAATTCCCACTAGAAATGAAGGCGTACAAATTCATAACCTAAAATTCATGTCGCACTGCAGCAACAAGTTTAGATTGCAGTGGTGTGTGCGCTGTGTGGTAAGGACAGCAAGGTATTATATGCATAACGGGTAGCCAAGAGCACTCTGATCGCACAAAGTTCGTGCTAATAGCGTTCCACGTCGCGTTAGGAGTTAAGCGGTCGTGGCGGTCCTCCTCCGCGCATCCCTAAGGCACACGTTTTTGGGAAATGCGCAAAGTGGCTATTAGTTTACGGGGAAATGCCAACGGCAAACAATTTCGTAACCCATGCGGAAAGAATGCAAATATAAAATTTGACATTCCAGATTTGTGGAATACATAAAAAAAGGTAAAGGAAAATATTAAATATTAATATTTGTAAATTAAACAAGCATGGACGTTTTTATAGGTTAAAACGGTAGAAAATTGAATGATAATTGTTTTGTTTGAGGTTATTCACGTGAAAACGTACGGGCAAAGTAAATTATCGCGTTACAAAGAAAATCAAATCCATTGTTTGCAAATTACAGTAAATTGTTATCTCATAATGGAGATACCACATATTCTGCGGGTGAATAAAGATATTTTCAGAGAAAATCAACGTCTGTGGTTGTCATATGTGCCGTGGTGGCGCTGCAGTCGACATTTTTAAGTAAAATTCGTTATAACTCCGAAACTATTAAAGATAAAAACAAAATTCTTTTTTCTACAAGTAAATATTGACAAGGACGATCAAAATTATGAATTTATTAATTAATATATAATTAATTTTTGTTATTTTACGTAAAATATGTAAAATTTAACGTTTTGAGGTTATAAGTTTGGCTTTTAAAGCTAAAAGTCATTGAATTCGGTGTAATTTGAAATGTTTACATGATAAATACCTAAAATTCACTTGTCTGATGAGATTTCGCGCCTCGCAAGTGCGTTAAACAGTTAAAATCATCGAAAATACGCGCAATTTCGCGTTTACAGCGCGCTTTTCACACAAATTCGACATTTTACAAAGTGCATCCCGCATGTTGATTAAACACACGCATTCGAATAAATATTTATCGCGCCGCCGCCGCCGGCGTTGCCGCCTTTGCGCGATTAAATCAACATCGGCCGGGCGCGTGACGATCACCACATGTTGCCGGCGGGGAGGCCGGCGCGGGGCCGAATTAGACGGACATAAATTTTATTCGCCCAACTCTCTCTCATTCGATCCATGATTTATGGACTTGTTTTCATTGCGAGATCGGCGCGAAAGAGGGCGGCGGAGGTATTGTACAAACATGCGTGGGGACGGCGGTTGGAGGCTCACAACGACAAGATAACGATGAAACTTTTACAATACGTTACGACGTGTTACGAGCCGCTAGGACATGTTACCAGCCCGCCGCGGGCGTTTATCGATGTTTATTGCGATTGAAAATTTAGTGCAACAATAATAAACGCTTCAGAGCACATAAATTTGTATAAAAAAGTATATTTAGATTTGTTCTATCGCGGGCGAGGAAAAAATTGGATGTGGGGAAATTTGGAAAATTAAATTACACTCAAAAAATTGTAATTTTTTGCTATTTTTTGAGGAATTTTACAATAATCCCTACTAATATTATAAATGCGAAAGTCCTGATGTTTGTTACACTTTCACGCAAAAACTACTTAACCGATCATCATGAAAATTTGTACACATATTCTTAGTGGTCTCCGTATGGTTATAGGCTACTTTTTATTTAATAAAAAAATATTTTTAAATAAAATAAAGAAATTGTTTAGCCAATAATACCTCTGCATCTGGCTATTTGACTACTTTAACGCCATCTAGCATTCCAGCAATGAAGCTCAAACCTAAGTACAATAGTACCATCACACTGTATTATCACACTGTATTACCGACAGCTACGTCAACATCAAATCCAATTGACTACATTATGGAGACTGTGCACTATACTTCCATAGACTATACTTTCAGCCATTATAAACTTCCCGCCATTCTACTTCATTGTTACTTCTTCTGTGACTACAGACGCGTACGGGAGCAACTTCATTATTTTAGATATTCGCGAGCAAAGCCGCGGGTTAAAGCTAGTTTTTTAATACTTTTAAATTTTATTGATTTTGTATTTGCATTTTTAAAATAATGTATGGGAAGTATATAATTAGTAATTAATTAATTAAAGTATTTGAAACTCCGGAACTGACCCGAAGATGGGTTGTAACCAAAAGGCTCTGATCAATGCTTGTTTGGAAACCGCGAGGTCTCGGGTTTAGGACCCGTACGGGCCAATAATAATAGTGGGTATTTCTCTTCGTTTACTTGATTCCGTAAAATTATGCTTGACCTGCCGAGCACAATGCGACTAGTGAAACTATCCGGGTTTCAGACGTTAGAAAGATACTAGCGCAAAATTGGGTAGATTTCGACATTCAGTCTCTTAACACATTCCAGGAATCAGATATTTTGTATTTTTTCGTGATTGAGTTTAGATAGAAGTCCAAATTGATGTGATTTTTAAAATAAAATATTTAATGATTCCAAAAAGGTTTTTATGTAAAAAATGTTGTTTTCTAAAAAATTACACGAATTTTTGTCCAAATTTATTTAATTTGTATAATTAAATGTAGAAATTAATCCTACAGCAATATCAAAAAATATTTTAGCGATCAAATTGCATTTTTCGACTACATGTAAAATAAAATATTTTATGTATGATAGGTATATAAATCCAAATTAATTTGATGATTATATTTAATATTTTCCTCATTTCTATTTTATTATTCTCATCAAAACTAATAAAACAATCCGAAAACTTTAATCTCATATTACTAATGCGCGAATTTTAATTGTAAATATTAATAAATAAATTTCGCCAATTTTCGCCTATTAATTATTAATTAAAAGCGATGAAGTAAATAAAACACGTCAGCCGCAGACAAAACCGCGTCAACTTCAATAATCAACATGACTCTCACCACGCTCTCAAATTAATAATTGCTTCCCGAAATAAATTTCAATTCAAGCCTTCGTGTATAAATTAGTGTAATTTACACCTTGTAACACAACCTTTTATACGCATTAATTAATTAGGTACTCACCAAAATATTTTCTTTCACAATTAAATTTTAAAAACAATTTTTTCTTTCTTGTAAACACTTTTATTACACACTCGTAATTGAATTCCAATTTAATTATTATTGATTACACTTTTCAACTCAAACCACAAACGCTAATGCCGCGCGCACAGAGCGAAAACTTTAAACTGGCACTATACTTCGCAAGCGAGCGCAGGATGCGACAGGATGACGGGAGAGCTTTCGCGACGCGAGCGCTTTTCCGACTGAAGGAAAATCGCGACCCGCCCGCGGCAGGACGAACGCACACAGCCGAATATTCGACCAATCGACGCACACTCAGTCAGTCTATTCACTATAGTCAGGACAGCATTCAAAATTCTACAAAAATAATACAATTAAGACAACATTTATTCAAAAATCAAACATTAACAACAATAACAACATGAATTTTGTAAAAATTGATAATTTTATAATATCACAGTTTAATTACTCATTTTGTGTGTGTGTGTGTGTTAATTCTCATCTCTTATTAAATATAAAAATAAAAATAAAATACATTAATATCACTAATTAAATTAAACTTTTGTTTTGACGTATTAAAACTACGTTAATAATTATTAATTACTATTCACGTTCAAAGTGTAAAACTTATCATATCACAATATAGTTTTTTTTTGTTGACACTGGTTTTGCGTATAAAATTTAAGGCACTTTTTTTGTTTAAAATGTGTGGTTTATCAGCTTGTTAAGCCGTTGCAATCAGTTTGGAATAAATACACTTCGGAGAGAATTGCGCCGATTAGAAAGCACGTGTATATACTGATGAGTATTGCGCCGGATTTGCGCGAGAGTCGAAAGCGATTGATCGACAGACAGACGTAGAGCGTGATGGCGACGAGGATGAGCGCCAGGATGGTGTACTCGAGCGAGCCGGATTTGATGGCGATGAAGGCTTCGGCGCTGCCCTCCTGCGCGAGTAGCTGCAGGGTGCGGATGAACCATGGTAGGCCGAGAGACAGGAGGATGTTCATTGTGTTTGCGCCGAGTGAATTCGAAATGCCCATTCTGCCTTCACCTAATTATATAACAGAGAAAAATTATTTTTTTAGTGGAAAGTTCGAGAGAATATTTAATAATAGGGGTGGATATATATATATATTTTTTTGTGGTTTAGTTGGAGAGATATTATTGATTTTTCTTTTGATTTAAAATAAAAGAATAATAGGTTTTGGTTGAGTTTTACGTTTGGCTTTATAAAATCTAAACCTTTTGAGATAGAAGTTTTAAATTTATGTAGTATAATCACAATTAAATTGGCTTTCTAGAAAGGTTTTTTTTGGGTATTTTGTGATTATTAGTTTATGAGTTATTTACGTTTAAAATTGAAAATTAAAAAAAAAACTTGAATAGTAATATGATTTTCTAAAATTCTTTTGTTCATAAAACATGAGTCTTTTGAAACACAATTTTGAAATTAACACAACTTATTACCAGATAAATTAGCTTTCTAATGAGGTTCTGTTCAATATTCTGTGATTGTTATTTTCTGAGATATTATTGTTTAAACAACAAAAAATACAAAAATCACTAATATTTGCAAGTATTATCAAAGTTTTAAATAAAACGTGAATCTTTTAAATTAAAACTTTAAAAATTACCAATTTTAATCACAATTAAATTGTCTATCTAGAAACGTTTCGCGGAATATTTTCCGATTTTTACTTTTCAAGTTATTCCGTTGTAAACATTGAAACAAACGCGATGTACACTTCAATAATTCGCAGAAAAGCCTTACGTGTACATAAATCGTAAATATTATGAATTTTTTAAAATCACTATTTACATCAAACAAACCATTTGTTATTTATTCACTTCATTGAGCGTTCTAAATAAATTGACGTGCAAATTGATATTTCCCTGTTTGAATAAACAACTCTTAACTTTCGAACTATTCCCCATGAATTGAAAAAATATCGAGTTACCATTGGCGAATCAAATGTAGTTGGCATAAAGTTAATTTTGCATCAGTCATTCACAAACACAAAATTTAACAAAATTTCAAAAATAATGTGTTGTTAACTTGCCTTTTCTGGATGTAATTGTGATGGAAATGGCTTCCGGAAGACATCCACCGGCCGCGAGGAACGTCAAACCCAAAATAGAGTCTTGAATACCAAATGTACTACCTGCATTTATCAATAACATTAATATTAGAATATTTGTAAAATGTGTAAATTTGGTTGCATACCTATAAGCGTAACCATCCATGACACCAAATACGAATTCAGAGCTATCAAAATGACGCACATAACAAAAGTAAGCGGATAAACATTTCGATGTTTTTGACAGTCTGGAACTGTGCAAAAAAGCACCAATTTGATGGGCCACATATAAATAAACAATAGTTGCGTAGTCCAATGACCCTTTGGAAACTTAAAGATTGATTCATTGCCTTCTGATTCTATCAACAACAAAAAAAAACCATTATAAATACGCAGCCATTTTAATAGCTATTAATTACTCACGAATTTCTTCTATTGTACCCGCATCTTTGGCATCCTTAGCGCTTCTTGTAATATTAATGGTAGCTTGACCATTTTCCAAGCGCTTTTCTTTATCGGCCATCTTGTCTTTTTTGTGTTCCTTGTGTTCGATGTATTTATTCAGCTCGTCGTCGATTGTGGTCACTGTTGTTACCGTTGAAAGTTCCATTCCTTTGCTGGACTCTTCAGAAACACCTTTTAAGAGTTCACAAGTTAAATAATTTTTTTAAATAAAAAATAATATAATTTACTTACGAGTTGCACTGATACGATTCTGTATACTGCGGAAAAACGCCATGATGCGTACGTTTTGAAACATCACAGTGAGATAGATGAAATAAACGATGAAAAGCACCAGGGCTTCGTACCAGAAGACTTGGCCATCCCATGTGATCCACACGAGTAGTACTATTGAACAAATGTAGATGGAGCAATCGCGCGTTAATGGCCACCAGTCCAATTGGATAGGCTACACGTGAAACAAAATATAATTTTTTTTTACTTTTTGAAGTGATAACTTAGATATTAGATTAGAATGTAAAATAATTAAATATCGAAGGGTAAAAGGGCGAAAAATGTGATTAAAAGTGCTAAAAATTGAAATTTTTCAAATTTTGACGATTTTTTTCAATTGCGAATATCTCTTAAACTAAAAGAGATAGAAAGGAACGGATTGCAGAGTCTTAATCTTCGGACAATTCTCTATCAAATAAGTAAGTTAAATTGGAATTTTAAGAGATAAATTGAGATTTTAATTCATAAGAAAAAAATTGGCTTGATAATTTTTTTCGACGTTTTTTGATAGAGAATATCTTCTAAACTAAAAGTGCTAGAATCCAACGAATTGCAGATTATGATAGATTGGAAAATTCTCTATTAGACTAGAATATAAAATAATAAAATATCAGTGGGTAAAAGGGTCAAAAATGTGACTAAAACTGATAAAAATTGAAATTTTTCAAAATTTTCTGTTTTTTTGTCTGAAAATATTTCTTCCCAACTTCAAAATTTTCTTTTTTCTTGTGTAAACATATAACACTCGTAGTATAATTGAATTTTCGCTACGAGTAATAAAACTAAACAAATAACGGGCCAAGGTCACATATGTGTGAGTTTCTCTGATGAGTGGTGCTCTCGAAAGGCAATAAATGAGAATTGAGGATGTTTGTGGATGTGGATGTTTTTTTCGGGCTATTACCGTCCGCGCCGCAATGCCGCCGATCGCAGCGACACCCAGCGTGTTGAACATCGAGGAGCCGACGACCGTGCCGATGCCGATGTCCGACTTGGTGATGAACGTGCCGATGATGTTCGAGAAGAGCTCGGGCGCCGACGTCGCCATCGCCATGAAGGTCGCCGCCGCCACATCCTGCAAAACACACAACACATCATCATAAAAACTAAAAGTGTCTAGTGTAACATTAACATAACCTCAAAGTATGGCTATTAGGGGGATTTATATAGGTTAGTAAGAGATTTTCATGTTTTTTTCGCGGACATGTTTTTTAATTTGTTATAACTTTTGAATGGAAAATCGTAGAGAATTGAGTGAGGTGTCATTTTAAAGAGAATTTAAAGGAGAATCAAGTTGAGTAATATTAGTTTGGTAGAGTAAATAGTTTTTGAGATATTAAGGAAAAAGTATTTTTTACTTTTTTTACTTTAAACAACTATAACTCGGAAACTAAAAGAGATAATTTAATTATTTTTGCTTTAAATTAAAGATATTTTTATGTTTTATAAATTCCATAATTTATTTTTTCTTAAAAATCTTTTTTTCTATCTTAAAACATCAAAAAACAAAATTTTTCATTTTTTGCATTAAAAAAAATATTTTAACACTCTGTATATGCAAATCATTATTCACCCAAATTATAAATCATCATCCATCGGTGCCGAATATTCGGCGCTTTATTTTTAGCCCGTCCGGTGTGTTTACAAGTTCAGCTAGCTCTACGCGGCGATATTTCATAACTCTCGAAAAGCCAGCAACGACAGCACACCGCGATCGTTCAGCCAGTTCGTTCATCTTTCTCTCGACGCCCACGAATAAAACGCCTGTTTACACGTTTCCGTGTGCGATCTTCGCCAAGCGCCTTGGCCCCGAAACAGAAATAATACGCGCTGATGTGGCGACTTGCGATTGTTTCACGGCACAGGCAGACGCAGCGCAGGAAATATAATAAGAGGGCAGATTAAAGGAAACGCGACATGAAAGTACGAGAACACACATAATTGGCGTATTAATAAAGAGACAAGATACCCGGAATAGGGGAAGGAGTGCCATTAAAGTTGATTTGATTAGAAGGCAGTCAGAGTCATTTGTTTTTGTGGTATTTCTTTTGTTCTGCTTCTTCTACTTTTACTTGTATATATGCAACCTAGTAATCATATAATTTAGTATGCGTCTAATAATAGGCAACCATATTTACATCTGTGCTAAAAATTATCTAAAAATTTAAAATCGTCGATAACTCGGAAACTATTAGAGATAAATGAAAAATTTAAAGTTTAAGTGATAGATAATTTAATTATCTACAAAATATACTATAGAAGTATTTATTATTATTATTTATTTAATAATAATTAAATAAATTCATGATAAATTCTTGGATATTAGATTTCTGACGGCGTTATTAATTTATGATTGAGTTAATGGCCCCGGAAGTTTGAGTGAATATCAAATTTATCGATCCGTGTCGAGGTGTGTCTATTGTCCGTGCCGAAAATATAATAAAATCCCTATTAATAGCGGCGCGGTGTCCGGCACGCTAATGACGCAAACAGAAATGTCCAATATTGAATTATCCAATTAACGAATGAATAACGAGAGACAATGAAAAATGCTGCGAATGGCGGTGGAAAAATTCGTATTCTGATCCTAATTTTGAAATTAATCATCAAAAGGTGTATAATCGTATTATTCACTAGTCTACCTCCACGAAAAACTGATAAAAGTGACAAATATCTGTCAATTAAGTGGGTTAAGGTCCACATTCACACTTTCGTAATTATTTTGTTATTTGACATCTAATTAATTGATTACCGCAATAAATTATTAAAATTTTTGGTATTAAGTGAGATATTGGTTGCCTATACTCACACCAAAATAGATTTAACCTAAATTATTAATTTTTAGGTTATAAAAGTGAAAAAACATTAAAAAAATTGTTTTTAATATATGTGGTTGATGGATAAATAATTAATCAGTTTGTTATCGTGGTTTATAAAACCCTGAAATCGCTATCACAGTAAATTGCCAATCGTCGACCTTAAAACAATTACTTTTGTATTATCTTGAGCCGGTTTTTATTTTTCATATCGTTCAACAGCGTAGACAAGCGAATTAATCTGTACCACATCGTCGAGTGGCACTTTATTGTTGTAATAAGCAACTATCGCCATTAGTATCATGCTTATCACATGATCTTGATTTCGAAAAAAAAATCACAAGATGCACAAAATCAACATTTCTCCGGCTTTCTCGCCAATAGTAAACACAATAAAGGCATTATTTTTAATGTGATGCAATTTCCGGTATTGGTTATCAATATATACTAAAGATAACAAAAACATTTCAAGGTTAATATCAGTTTTTGTTCTTTTAAATTATTTGTAAACTCAACTCGTGCACAAATATTTTAAACTTACAACAACAAATGACGTTTTAAAAATAAATTATTTATAAATTCTGACACGTGATTGTCGATTATCAGTGAACTTAAAATTCCTAGACATTCGTTGTCAATTTGAAATTTACGGCTGAAATAATTATCAGCTTGATCTTTGCTCGAACGTGTCTTCTATGCACTCGTGGCCAGATGCACACGCGTGATTAGTCAATGTTAATATCATGATATCAATCCGATCATCAATAATTCCCGAGTTGAAAGTTGCACGTTCTCATTTTCTACATATATAAATATCGAAGCGTGTATATTACATTAGTACGCGGTGAATAAATGAAGCTAATGGCGCTGCTAATCGCATGTGAGGTTAGGATGTGTGTTTAGTCGATTAATACACCCGGCTAATATCATAGTAATCATCGCAAGTCGTTATATCATTATCGCAAATACGTATCTTTATCTGGTCGGCACATAAGCGTGAATTATTCATTAATGTGTGTATTTGTTTCATAGATTTGAAGAAATCGATGTTTTTAAATGTAGGAAGGTTGTGCATTTTTAATAGGCAACCAAATTCACACTGATGAGTAAATATAATGTATTAAATATTAACTGGTAATTGATTTTACCAATCACTCACATGGAAGATGGGTATATTCGCGGAAAATTACGAACTTTTATTGATTTTGGTTTGCATAAAACGCGTTTATTAAAATTTCATGCAAAACTTTTAATTTCTTTTTTATTTTTTGTTAAATTTTGTTTTAAAAACATTAAAAATTACTATTTTTTAATTTAAATCTAATTTTTGATCAAAAATATTCAATATATGCAACTTTATATACATTTCAATCATTTTTGTGTATATTTGGTTGCCTAACATAAAAAATAAATAAATTAAACTCACCCTAGATAAATTCAGAGCTTCACAAATGCGTTCCACACAAGGCAAGAAGTAGTTATCGCAAATAATCGCAAGAACCGTGAAACAATAAATAGCAATAATACAAGGCAAGACAATCCCGCCTTGTTTCCGCTGTTCATCAGTGAAAAACGTCGGAAACTCATCAATGGACCGCGAGCATTCCGGTTGTCCATCAGCGCCGAATAAAATACTAGGCGTGGAACTCCATGTGAGATTATCCACACTATCATTCATGGTGATACGACGCGCTGCGTTCACCAACAATCTCTTCAGTCCTAAGGTATCACCAATGCCAATATCCCCATTTTGATATTCGTGTAAATTCTGATTTACATTCACTAGAAACAAACAAAAAAAAAAAATAATGAAAAGTGGTAATTTGTATTTATATTTGTATTTGTATTTGCTAAGTTGTTAACACAGCGTAGACAATTAGTTCGGTGTTTTTTTTTGTTATTTACCTGGAGTGGCGATTGCAATCGCGACGGCATTCAGCGCGATACTGAACTTGAGCAGGTTGGCGGCGCACGCGGCGTTCATTGTCGTAATTGTCGCACGCATTAATTATTCACCGGCCAGTTCGGTCGGCGATGTGTTGTTTCGTGTGTTGACGGCCGGGTTTCAACCCCGACGATCGCGATTACGATCACAATTAGATTATAGCACGCGCGAAACTTTCGATGCACATGCGTTTGTTCACTGGTGAATAAATTTTGAATTTTATTGGAAAGTTTATATGGGTTTTTGTGATGTTAAATAACTGTTTTGCACTTGAAGGACATCAACGGGGTGAAGATTTGTGTTTTCTTGCTGAAAACAGCTGCATAACCTGCAAAAATAAATTATATAAATTTTGTGCTATCATTATATTTTGTAGTATAGGCAACCAAATGTACAAAAATTAAATGTTAAAATGTGAAAGTTTGTGTTTTTCGTTTCGATTGATGCGAAACGTGATCGGTTACATTGAATACATCGTTGTGGTGATTATAGACTATTATATCTTTCGATTGGAAGTAAATTAAAGCGTTAGAATTGCTTGAAATCAATTACATATTGCTTTTCATTGTCCGTTAGTGGGTTTCCCCGAGGATCGGGAACTTGTTGTTACCCAATCGATCGTTATAAATTGTTCAATGTAATTAACGTTTTAAAAACCCAAGAAATAGAAATATATTTTTTTATTTAGTAAAAATCACGCAATAAAAGCAAAAAATGCGTTTTTTTATTTCCATCAGTTTTTCATGGTTTTTAGACACAAAAATTGGTACTGTATATATAATATCCATTATTTACGGGCATTATCTACGGGACGCAACGTTCGTCTGCGTATTTGTCTATCACGCAGCATGTAGCTAAACGTTGTTAAACACTCGTTAGCTTAATCTTAATCAATCTCGTGAGTAAAGTCCCCATTTAGCCACTTGATACATTATATACTATTATTTTGTAAAAATGAAGCAATAAAAGCAAAAAATGCATTTTAATTTCTTATACTTTAAAAAATCAACAAATAAAGTCGTAAATTCTGATGAATTTAAAAATAGTAATGATTATAAATGGATAATATTAACTTACTTGTTATATTTATTGTTATTGTGTTTTTATCTCGTCAAATTCTAAAGAATAGCATTACACTTGCCGCGTGCACACAACGCGCCGTGAGATACCTGCAGTTTAAATTAATTATCATCGATTTGTTGTTTGTTCAGCCGATATTTACCCAACTAATATTGAATGATTGGATGATAATTGTTGTGCGAATAAAATTCGCATTGTGATTTATTAGACACAGCGCCACAAAACACAATAATGACTTAAGATAAGCAATTTAAAATAAATTGAATAAACAATTGTAGTAATAGGTATAGAAATACTAAAAAACTACAAAAACTGCAATAACAATAATATTATTTATAATAACAAACAAATCTTTATCTAAAAAAATTAAATTAAATACCCAATACACACGTGTAATACAACTGTCTGAATCATTTTGATACTTTGTAATTCCCAGCGTAAATAGAGAAGAAAATCGCATTTGGCATGCGAATTAAACGTTTTGATACGTGTAATTGGATTAGTCGTACATTTCATTTTATTAGTTGCAACCGTTTTCAGTAAGATACTTATTTCACTGTTGAAATAAATACTTTTATTTGTTTTGGGAATTTGAATGATTCACAAGTTTAGTAATAAAACTTTGTAGAGATTAGAGGCGCGTTGCAACATCCAAAAACAGTGTGTATTTAAATTTACATAAATTCTAGTAAAATAAAGATTTTTACGTTGCGAATAAAGTTCAGTTTTGTAATAATTCATACTTGGAATGTTTTAGAACTAAATGCGGATATTTCTCGGAATTGACTGTTGTAACTGATCAATCAATCGGTGATGAGGAAGTTTGATAAGCGATAATGATCATTATTATTTAGGTTTTGACGCGTAATTTAATTGGAACGCTTGTACATTGCACAGAATTTCTGATTTTGAGTGATATATTGCTTGGGAATAAGTTATTTTAGGCTAAATTGGCGATTTAATTAAATTTCAGTTTGTATTTATTTGCTAGTTTTAAAAAAATAAAAAAAATCACTAACTAGAGAAATAGCGTTAGGTTTGTGTTGTTTTTTGCTGTTTCTTGGTTTGGGGATAGAAATATTTTGGAATTTTACAATTTTTTTAATTGAAATAATTAGTAACCTCGCACTTTAAAAAAAATAAATATTTGTTCAGTATTTCGTGTTACAAGCAACATAACAAATAAATATTTATTTAATTTACTATATTTATTTATTTATTGTTGCTGAGAATTATAGTATATTATTCAATTTACAAATTAAATCTAATTATTGCTATTATTGCGCGATTTTCAGTTATGACCTTATTAAATTTCATTCTGAGCGAAATAGAATTTATAACATCGTCTAATCTTGATCTTCACATCTAGACAACATGTTTGTGTCAAAATTTTATGTATTTATTGTAGTCAAACATGAAATAAGAAATGTTGACAGTCTGAATAATTTAGTGTGAACCACACCGTACACCAAAACCGTACACGATTCTATTACGTGATAATTTTACCAAAATTTATAACCTTGCTATAAACTAATTTCACAGAATTTATCTCCTCTGATAGTTTAGTTTACAGATGATAATTACTTTTCTTTTTTGAGTTGCAAACGCGTATCAGTTTGAGTGCAACTTTACTGCAAATGTAGTTTAAATCTCTTGGAAATTGCGTCTTACTCGTAGATAATATCACTTTCAATTTTCCAAGAGTTTAAAGTCTTAAGTTACATGTCTTTTAATTTAGTTTTTACTTACCCGTCGTCAAATTACTCCCCATGATGCATTAAATTGGATTAAAATAGATTGTGGCACTATTGCTGCACTTTTATTTATAACTTATTTATTTATTTATTTACAACTACAGTTTGTGTCATTAATAAGTTTTAGTTTTATTATTTTTCGTCTTTTACTTAAATTTAAGTCAATTTTTATTTTATTTTATTTTTATTTTTGTTGTTTACCTCGCGCTAGTCCTTAACCGAATGCACTTTATAGGTAGACACAAGTCCTATTTAATTAATCAACAAATAAAGTCATCGCGTAACAATGCACGACTCGGAATTATTGAAATAATTAAAATTACAACAACTTTACTAACGCACACTCACATAAACTCACTAAATGTGCTACTGATCGCGTTGTACTCATAGAACAAAAACCGCCTGAACGAACGAAACACGAAAACTGACTAATTAGGCGTCGGCAAGGACGCGTCGAGTTTCGGAAGTGATATCAGTTGATAGGTGGCGATAAGGACGAGGTGCTTGGTTTCTTGGCGCGCGAGTGGAGCGTGTGTCCGGCGTCCTGGAATGCGCGAGCGCCTTTTATCTTACTGCCTGCAATATAATCAGATTATCATATTATCAGATTATGACTTGCTTTATTGTGTACGTGTATTTTTTGCTTGCTTGATTAGACACGACTGGAGTTGGAAATAGGAGGAGTAGAAGTGTATTGTATTTTTGCTTTACTTTTACTTTTACTTACTTTACGATTTATTGTGTTATCCATGTGATTAAATATTGAGAGATAACAAAATGTTAGACGATACGAGGGGTATGATACTATGAATTGTATTTTAATCTAGTTATGCAGGAAAATTTTATGTTTGTTAATTTTTTTTCTATAAAGTTTTTTTTAGTTGAAAAAGTAATTAGCTTTTACGTAATGTTCTGTAAAGTTTTTGTTATTGTTAACGTGATAAAAAATATTCTGCATACGTAGTTATAAATAAAATGCCGCAAAGTTGGCACATGTTTTTCCCTAACGTTGTTTCCCAGTCAAAACAAAATTTTTCAAATACTTTAATAATATTATTACGTGTTATTTAGGTTTTCTATAAAATTATAATTTATTACATATCTAGTGTGCTAAACGACACTTTAACAACGTTTAGCCATGTGATGCTTACGTATTTTAATATTTCCATTTTATTTTCACGTTTAGTTTGTATTTGAACTTTTTATTTTAAAACTTTGAACTTTATTCGCACACTACTGCGAAATGTAAGGTTATAAATGCATAGGAGTTCGCGCACGCACTTGAAATCACATACGGCTAGGCGCGACACGCCAACAAGAGCAGCGGCAGCGCATGCTGCTTTGTACACCGTAGGCTAATGCGCAGGCGCTGACGCAAAATCCACCCCGTGACTAAAGTACTTTAACCACGACTGTGACTAAAATCTCAATTTTCTTGTCTCTAAACCGTGGAAAAAGTGGCGCTTTAAATGTAGAAGTAAAAATTCACATTTAATCTTCCAAATAACCTAAAAGTAGAAACATGTAGTCTAAATGTATATATTCACATACTTATCACATTGTGATTTGCAATTTCGATTTCGGTGCGAACGTCGAGCCAATTATGCAAATCCTCGAGATTAGTTTCCCGCTGTGGCGGACTGTCAGTATGCATGTTGTTTCATTGTATTGTTTCTAACTCCTCATCAAAACATTGGGTTAATTTCGGTTTAGTTCCGAATAACTTTTACTACACAGTTATTTGGTTAAATAAAATATTTTAATAACGAGAATAATAAATAATAAATATTTATTATTCGTCATTCCACAAATGTTCAGGAATTCATATTCGTCATGTAAATTGCATGAAACTGAAATGTTCGAAATGATTTTCCGAAATACTTGTGTACTCGTATGTAGTTGCATTTTTAAACGATGAAAAACTCATCAAATAAATTTCTGGTGAATTCGTAATACGGCAATATTATTATTCATTAAAGCTTCATAAGTCTCATTAAATTAGTTGTTTCATCTTTAGGGATTAATATAATATTATATCACGTGAATGATTAGAAAATATGAAAATATTTTTTAATTCAATGATTATTACGCAATAAAAATTTATTTTCTTGTAAAATCCAAATATTTAAATTTTTAAATGTTTTTGAATTTTCGGAAAATACCTGTGCAAATTATGTGTCCAATAATTTTTAGTCGTTATGTTAATCAGTTGGAAATTTTTCTTTATCAAACTCGTGTGTTTAACAACGACATACGTCAATCTATGTTTAATTTTTATGTTACTGAAAGATAAATTGTAAAAACAACATTTTCTAATTTCTGTCAAATAATATCTGGAAGTATATTACTTGCCATTTACTAAACTTATCAATTGTCATTTGCATTTTATAACAGTCAATATGTGAATACCTTTTGTGTAAATGTTTGCCTTTAATAAATTGCAGATTAATTTATTATTATATAATTGTTAATTGAGACAAGTGCAGTAAAATTATTTAAATTTAGAGTTTTACTCCACAGTGAGCATAATTACTATTTAATTAATTTACGAGTTTATCCATTATTGACTTATTTTCTCAAATATAGGTATAAAAATGTATGCACATTTATTATGTATGCATATAATGATATTTAATGTTTAATCAGAAGGTAATTACGTATACCTGCATACAAAATCTTTTTTTTTATTGCATTTTGGTTTACGAGTATATAGATTATAACAATAACATTAAGGAATGTTTGGACCTTGAATGGAATGTGGTACACATCATCATCGATCGTGAAACTCTACGGTTTTACGAGTACTCACCCACCATCCGCCTTCCTAATATTACAAAATTACCTAGAAATAATAATAAAAATAATAATAATAATTTGACAAAGTTTGTTTACTTTAAAGCACGAGTTTGTAACTTTTTCCACACGTGTCGCGTGTTAGTGAAAATGCACACAATGTAAAAAAATAACCAAACGTTTATTTTTAAGTATAATAATTAGAATATCTAAAACCTCATAAACAAAAATTGTTTCAGTTTTAAAAACGTATTGTTAGGTATTTCAACAACGTTTTATAAGTATCAATATATAAAAACAAAACTATACTTACTTAATAAAGTAATAAATTGTAATACTTTTACCTGTATTTATTAGATTTATCTCGATCAGGGAAAATAATGAGGTCTAGGACAAAAGCACGATCGACTCGTGTGTCATGGTGTCAGCGTGTTACTATGCCAGCACATCATCCACGAGTGGCGCGTAGAAAATTGTAGCAAATCGTAAACTTTGGATGAACTAAGTTGTATATTAATTCTTTAATCAATTGGATACCAACAGATAAGGATAAAGCAACATTTAAGATAAGCATGATAATACTATTTATTATTTTATGCGCAGTTAATAGTATATTTCAAGTGCGCTAAACGGCACTTTAACCACGTTTAGCGATGTGATGCTTACGCATTTTTCTAGTGTCGCTTAATTTGCACATTTGGTTTTTGTATTTAAACTTAACTGAGGACGCATGGTATTTTACGAGTATATGGTCTTATACTGCACCGTTGTTAATGCGCAGGCGTAAGCTCCATCGCGTGACTAAAGTATTTTAGTCACGATTTTGACCGTCCGTGTTTAAATTACTACTTTTTATGTCCAAAAACTGTGAAAAACTGAAATTTTAAGCATAAAAGCAGACAAAACTTTTTTTTTATGAAGAACACATGCAATTCATATCTTTTTAAATAAATTTTCATAATTAATTATTCAATTAATTAATAAAACTGCATGTCTGATGTCTGCACGTCATTTCTTTATTCTTTCCTCTTCAGACTTGCACCTATCAATTACAAATAACTACGCTACACGTTACACCGACATAAATAAAATAACACAACACATCTTAATAATTAATCATTTTTGGCACACACAATAAGACTAAAAATACTTTCGTACTCGTGTACAATAGAAATTGCGCGCGGCATCACAAATATTATATGCACGTATGCAGCGCCTGGGTAATTAAATTAAATTAAACGTATGAATAAGTAAGAAGAAGTTCCGGATGGCTGTTATCATCTGTCGCAGGTTGGCAAGTTCACTGGGAAGAACACGTTCAGTTCGATGAGCGACGCTGTTGTTAGGAACATTCCGTACATTACAAGACACGTGAGGCCTACTTTCCAATCCAATCTGAAAATTATTTCAATAGAATCAGAATTAGTTAAAATGATAATTGGTTCTCTTGAAAACGAATAGAAATGTAGGAATTGAATTGAAATGAATTGGCGATTAATGAGTGTAGAAAACTTTGTGAAACTTTGAAAACTTTACAAAAAGCTTGAAAACTAAAGAGAAATAATTTTTGAAGGTGATTTATGACTTTTAAGTAAATTTTACAAAAGTTTATAAGTCTGTATCCACAGAAAAACTAATTAATTTCCTTTATTTTTCCTTTTTTCTTCTTAAATTAATATAATACCGGAAATTAAACAGAAAGCTCTGTTCTCAAAATATTTACGCCGGCAATTTTGTGAAATGAATAATTTCGACTTAAATGTACAGCATTCAGAGTTAAAATTACTTAAATGCATGTTTTGTTCCGAAATAAGCACCGGATTAACTCTCTCCTCACAATACAAAAGAATAAACATAGATGGCGTTGGTATTCACCTGCGCCATGTTACATTCGATTGCGCTATTAGGTATTGTGAGTGTGCGGATTGAGCCGACCATGAGTAATAAATTTATGCCATAAATCACTGTCAGCCACACAAGCAATTTTCGTCGTGGTTGTTTTTTTACTCTGTATTCTTCGCTTTCGTTTTTCTTCCTCCTACACTTTGTTTTCGTGCGCAATTTTTACGTTTTAACAGGTTTAACAACCACGCCGCGCGTCGTTTGTTTACTTGTCAGCAGGGGCAACGCAACTCGTTCGCCTCGATTGTTTTATGAATGAGTAAATGAGCGAATGACGGATCGTCCTGAATTGAATCGAATGAATCAAATTGTACGAAAAATATCCGAAGAAAAACTCACTTAAATCGATTGAAAAGCAAACTCAGGTAGAACATCACCAGTGTGGTGAGGAGAGAGATGGCGCTGTAGGTTAACCCAGAAGAGTTGATGATTATTGAGTGGGTGTGTGGTATTTTGGGGTAGAACCATGTTTTTACTAGCCAGGGAAGGCCCAGGCAGAGGAGGATGTCAAAAGTGTTGGAGCCTATTGAACTGCTAAGACCCATTCCACCATGACCTAAAAAAATAATAAAAACATGAAAATTTAAAAAAATCCGATAGATGGCGTTAGTTGTAAAAAATTAATTTACCTTGATTGGTTACGATTACACTGGAAACAGCTTCCGGTACACTTGTCCCAGCAGCCAAGAAGGTTAAACCCATCACAGAATCGGGAATATTCAAAGTATCACCTAAATTAATTAATAATTATTATTCATTCTACTTTTTGCTATTTTTAACTTACCAACTACAGTGATTAACCATGCGACCATATAAGAAGTAGTACCGATCCAAAAGATACACATTAAAAAGGTAATAACGTATAGTTTTGGAAATTTACGACAATCAGGTGTAGTCATATAGAGTACGAAGGATATGGGCCATGTGACACACCAAAACATTTTACCACCTACAGTGTGATCTGAGGGCCATTCCCAAATCTTCGTAGATTCTTCTAAATCTTCGCAGTCTTTCAGAGTTAATTCGGTATCGAATACTTGATGAGCGTTTTCGACGTTTCCGTTGTTAATTTCTGGAATAGCTCCGTTCTTCTTTAGATCTTGTTCGGATGATAGGAGGGGTTTTGTTTCTCCGAGGACTTCTTGATAGGTGTTGTGTTTACGGCGGCGACAACAGCGCACCATGCGGTTGATAGCGCTGATTACTTGATCATTGAATACCATTACTATAGGAAATTTAATTTTAGTGAAAAATTGTTTTTTAGCACAAAATAATAGTATATTAAGTATCAAGTGCGCTAAATGGCACTTTATCAACGTTTAGTGTTATTATACTATTGTTTAACAACGTTTAAGCTCCACCTCGTAACTAAAGTCCGTGGCTCGTGGCTAAAGTACTTTAGTCACAGCCTTAGTGGTCTGGGATTAAAGAATCCCTTTTCGTGTCTTAAACCCGTGGAAAAAGTGACATTTTAAAAGTAAAAGTAAAAAAAAAACTTTTTTTTGCCCTTCCTTTACCAAAATAAATGTTTTTTCACTAAAATTTCTCAAAATCTTTGATAAAAACTTACATAAAATATATAATAAATACGTAGACACCAACATAATGGCTTCCCATAACTCAACCCTTGAATCATCCAAAACTCCAATTAGCATAACAACCGCAACACCATAAACAAGCGAGTCTCTTGTGATAGGCCACCAGTCTAATTGCAGGACCATATTAGCGAATAGTCCACAACACGCCGGCACGGCCAATACATTGAACACAGCTGATCCGACAATGGTACCTACACCAAGATCCCCTTCGGTGATGAATGTCCCCACGCAATTGATGAATAATTCAGGACTGGAACTGGCGGTCGCCATGAATGTAGCACCGGCGATATCTTCTTTCATTTGCAGACCTTTAATAATTCAAGCATGTGAAATAATAATATTATCTAATGGTATTAGAAGGAACTTACTATCACATAGTTTTTTAATGGCAGGCACAAAGTAATCATCGCAGACGATGGCGAGCAGAACAAATAGATAGCAAGCAAGCAGAGCGTGTAGAATCGCCCAGCCGTGTTGCCTTTGCTCTCGGGTGAAACCGTCGTTGGGAAATTCATTTAGCGCAGCTGGAGTGCAATTTTCCAGCAAGAGTCCTGCTGGTTGCGCTGTGGTTGTATTAATGTCCAGTGTTGGTGTGGTATTAGTATTCGATGGTATATCACTTATGTTCAGCGCTAACAAATGACGTGAATCTGCAAATAAAACAATAGCAACGTCAAATTTCGAAAATTTTAATTAATTCTAACATTCTACGCATTCTAATTTGGAGATGAGTCTGGCGTGTGTCTAATTTTCGTCTGGGAATTTGCTAATTGTTTTTGTGCGTCATTTGCAACACGCTAATGAACAACGCAATTTCTCTTCGTGAATATTCTTTGTTTTGAAGTATTAAATTTAGTAAAATTAGTATTTAGCTTTTTTATAACGACGTTTGAGTCGAAATTGGGATTTTTTCTGTCTGACCTTTTGTTATGCTGGTTATAAACTCAATTATTTTAGTAAAAATGCCGGTAAATACTCCCCAAAGTCTAAATATGAATTCCGCGTCGTTCAGTTGTATTCACTTGTGTTATGTTTAAATGATTTTCTAGTAACGCAACGTGCACCCCAACAAATTTGCTGAAAAATCGTGCTTAAGTTATAGAAATTTGCATTGCAATTTGTGTGTATGTTGGGTTGCATAATTACAACAATATTTCAAATGTTACCATCGATGTCATGTCTTTAAAAAATATTCTAGCTCATAATTGCTAGAAATTAAAATATTTTTCGTCGTTACACAGAAAAAATATAAAATACTAGCTTTAACCCGCGGCTTCGCTCGCGAATATCTAAAATAATGAAGTTGCTTCCGTACGCGTCTATAGTCACAGAAGAAGTAACAATGAAGTAGAATGGCGGGAAGTTTAAAATGGCTGAAAGTATAGTCTATGGAAGTATAGTGTACAGTCTCCATAGTGTAGTCAATTGGATTTGATGTTGACGTAGCTGTCGGTAATACAGTGTGATAATACAGTGTGATGGTACTATAGTACTTAGGTTTGAGCTTCATTGCTGGAATGCTAGATGGCGTTAAAGTAGTCAAATAGCCAGATGCAGAGGTATTATTGGCTAAACTATTTCTTTATTTTATAAAAAAAAAATAATTTGTTTTATTAAATAAAAAGAAGCCTATAACCATTCGGGGACCACTAAGAATATGTGTACAAATTTTCATGATGATCGGTTAAGTAGTTTTTGCGTGAAAGTGTAACAAACATCAGGACTTTCGCATTTATAATATTAGTAGGGATAAACCAACCAAATTTTACAAATTTCGTCGTTATATAGAATTTATCGTTAAATGCAGTAAAATTAAAACTTGTATTTTAATACAATGTATTTTAATTCAAGTTACATTTAATTGATTACTGTTTAATATTGTAATATAATTTTATTATATTTCTTGAAGCTGATGCAATCAAATGTATTCATTGTCCTCTCGTGATTTTCCATTCCAAATAAACATAAAATCGACCGAGACCGAGAGTGAACGCAATGAACGCAACATCATCGATAAGGTTTCAGCTGTTACGGCTACGGCGCGTCGAGTGTTTCCAGTGTTTTCGAATTGAACGCGTTATTGGTATCAAGTGAAGTACCTGGTAAATTTCCATCAGGCAACAATCAACATTTCAACTTGTTGTGTACATAATATTATGAATCAACTGTCAACTTTGGAGGTTTTATTGCTTGTTATATCATGTTCTTGTCGCGCAGGAATTTAATTATTATAAAATTATATTTTAGTACATATTTGAATACACAGATGGCGCTAGATATATTAATACAAGTTAATAAAATTTATATTTGTCGGAATTACGGTTTGGAATGTTTAAATGAGTTGAAATTATATCTGTGGCTGTCAAAGTTATCAAAAAGTATTAAAAGCTTTATAAATTCAAGGAAATTAAATATTTTTAGGGAAGTTTTGGTTGTTTTGTTGTTTGAAAAGAAAAGTTTCGGTAATTTGATAATTTTCGGTCGGGTTTAATTGCTTCATATAATATGATATAACAACAAACACTTTAAACAATAATTATTTATTCATTTTTTAATGAAAAACATTGATTTTTAATGTTTTTGCAAATACAACGCACTTCTCACACTCACACCTGTTGATATATGATAATACGAAAAATAATCTCAAATTTGCCAAATCAAAATTAATCAAAAAGAAATCCAGACGTGATTTGTCCCACTACGTGATCACTTGAATTTCAACTACTTCTATGTATGTGTCATTGTTCACAATCTCAAATCACACACATCATACTCGTATATCAACTCGGAAACACAGCGATATGTAAATATAAATATATAATTTGTACCAACTTGACACCTCGAGTGAACTTGCTCTTCTCATTATCGAGAAATATTTTGACGATTGATATCATTTCGATACCATCATGCGTTTATCTCACTCATTGTGTTGACAGTTTTTCGGTAGTAACACGAATCAATCGAGTGCGTTTTGTTACGCATTAAACACACAACACTAGTGTGAATCATTCTTTGTTAAATAAAACTTTAGTTTGGACTTTTATTGTTGTTAAAGTTATGAAATATTACGCGTAATTAATAAAAAAAATCATTTTTTATTTTATTTATTTTTTTGAGTAAAATTGAAGAAATTAAGTTTAAAAAAATTACTTACTATGTGTTATGAAATGTTCAGTCTGTGGTAGATGACCTGCCGAAGAAGTAAACCCCTGCGCCGCCTTGGTGGTGAAAATAGCGGCGCCTGCATAGAGGAATGTCACGCTCACCAAAATCGCGCACTTTACATACGCGACATAACGAAACTTTCTAGTCCTAGGCAACATTTTGCCCATTCCTTAACTTGCCCTAAACTGAAGTTAGCGTTAAATGTTGCAAACCAACCCGCACCACAAATTAACACTCTTCTATTGAGATTAAAACAAATAAAACGCTTCTAAAATTCAATTTAATTTAATTTAATTTAATTTAATTCTCAAACAAATATCAATATAATATTAATTAAATTATGTTAGTAAATTAAATGGTTTAAGTAAGAGTTGTTGTGCACTTGAACGACGTCGAGTGAATAGAGCGCTGAGCGACTTTTCGCAACTTTTGTATGCTGCGCCGCAGCCCCGCGCACTTGCTACTCGTGCTAATCGCCACTGTAGACATACATGTATCGACATATTGGATAATTGTCTTGGCTCGTGCACGTATGTCATAATTAAATGTGGGTTTGATAGGTGTGTAAATTGTGTACATCTGTGAGTGGCTTGTTTGGATTGATACGTGGTTGTTATCGATGTTGTTGATTAGACGTATTGACGTTTGAGCTCGGTTCGAGACAAGATAAGACGCATGCATATACCTGGATATAATGCGTTGGGAATTAATTGTTTATTGTAAAAATTGTAAAATTCCGAATGTAAGAGTAATAGAAGTTTTAGTGCGTAGGATTTGGGTAAATTTAAGCGTGGAAACAAAAATTTTGTTTTAAAGTACATTTAATTGAGGATATGTTGTATTTTGTGCAATACAGGGTCAAACTAGAAAATTGTAGATTATGGAAAGTGCTAAAAAGTGAATATTTTCAATTTTTGACCATTTTTTCAATTGTGAATATTTCGTAAACTAATGAAGGTAGAAAGGCCAAATCTCAGATTCTTAATCTACGGAAAATTCTCTACAAGATAGGCTAGTTAAAATCGGAATCTAAGAGATGAAATTTTCACTCTTAAGGTAAAAATTGTCAAGGGGGGGGTGCTTGATTCTTTTTTTCGACGATTTTCAATAGCGAATATCTTCTAAACTAAAAGAGATAGCAACCAGCGGAAAGTAGATTATGAAAGATTGGATCATTCTCTATTAGCTAGGGATTTAAAATTATTTAATTTCAAAGAGTAAAAGGTCGAAAAATGCGACTAAAAGTGCTAAAAAGTGACATTTTTCAATTTTTGCCCATTTTCTTCAATTGTGAATATCTCGTAAACTAAAAGAGATAGAAAGGCCAAATCTCAGATTCTTAATCTACGCAAAATTCTCTACAAGATAGGCTAGTTAAAATTGGAATCTAAGAGATGAAATTTTCACTCTTAAGAAAAAAATTGTTAAGGGGGGGGTGCTTGATACTTTTTTTCGACAATTTTCGATTGCGAATATCTTCTAAACTAAAAGAGATAGCAACCGGCGGAAAATAGATTATGAAAGAATGAATAATTCTCTATTAGCTAGGGATTTAAAACTATTTAATTTCAAAAGGTAAAAGGTCGAAAAATGCGACTAAAAGTGCTAAAAAGTGACATTTTTCAATTTTTGACCATTTTCTTCAATTGTGAATATCTCGTAAACTAAAAGAGATAGAAAGGCCAAATCTGAGATTCTTAATCTACGCAAAATTCTCTACAAGATAGGCTAGTTAAAATCGAAATCAAAGAGATGAAATTTTCAGTCTTAAGAAAAAAAATTGTTATGGGGGGGTGCTTGATACTTTTTTTCGACGATTTTCGATAGCGAATATCTTCTAAACTAAAAGAGATAGCAACCAGCGGAAAGTAGATTATGAAAGATTGGATCATTCTCTATTAGCTAGGGATTTAAAATTATTTAATTTCAAAGAGTAAAAGGTCGAAAAATGCGACTAAAAGTGCTAAAAAGTGACATTTTTCAATTTTTGCCCATTTTCTTCAATTGTGAATATCTCGTAAACTAAAAGAGATAGAAAGGCCAAATCTGAGATTCTTAATCTACGCAAAATTCTCTACAAGATAGGCTTTTCACTCTTAAGAGAAAAATTGTTAAAGGGGGGTGCTTGATACTTTTTTCCACGATTTTCGACATTGAATATGTTCTAATTAAAAGCTATAGCAACTAGAAAATTGTAGATTATTGAAGATTGGTAAATTCGCTAGGAGATAGAAATTTAAATAAATATCATGTGGGCAGTTTACACGCGGTAGAAGTGAAACCTTCAGAACACTGCAAAAAATGAGACGAAAGTACCTGATACTACTACACTGGGATAATTATAGAGTTTATTTATTATAAAATTGGAACCAAATATAAACGTTATTAAATATTATGAAAAATACAATTTTAACTATTTTTACAAATTTACAATTTTTTTTAATTTAATTTTTGCATATTTTTGTGAATTTTTCATTATAAAATCTCAATATTATGAAATAATTCATCAGTCCTTGAATTTACCAACAACTTCTTCTATTTCAACATTTTACGCCAAATGATGACATAAAATAAATAAAATCTCCTCGTTGAAAATCTCCTCATTACTTCGCTGTGACTCTACGATTACAGCAATACATTGATCTTATCAAACAAACAGTAAACACAAATTGCTCGATAATTTGATAAGTTGCCGACCGACAGCCCGGCACACACATGTTTGACATCAAAATCGAAACGTAATTATTATTGTTTACTATAACCTGTCAAGTGTACTATCGATTCACTCAGTCAATGATAGACGCTAATATTTTTATTTCTTCTTTTATTTTACATCAAAACATATAACATAACCCATTTATTTAATAACCAAAAACTCATAATATAAGTATTATTATTATTATTATGTATAAATAAAAATTGAAATTTTCCATGTTTCAATGTTTAAATTAATTGCGATTGATGTCTGACGCGTAATTTTTTAATGGCGTCGATGAACAAATATATTACTTTATAAATAAGTGGACAGCTTGTGACCGGATCATACTGAAAATTTCTCGATTCGCAAGAGATTCCCGTCGGAAATACAAAATAAAAATAAACGATGTAAATATAAACAGTTTAATCACATCGGCGCGCAATTAACAGCGATAATTTCGTATTTATATACATATTCTATGTTGTGATGACGCAGTGTCAATCGTACTTAAGTCTAATATTTCATCAGTGCCTTAATTTCAAGGACATGTTATTAAAATAATAATAAAACTAAAAAATGCGTCATTTTTGTTTTTACACAAATTTTACTACAAAATTTTATTAAAATTTATTTATATTTTTGGTTTATTAGCCTTTACGTGATCCGTAACATAATCCCAAAAATACCCGCCTGATTTTAATCTATTTTAAGTCCGATATAAACAATTTTCGACTATTAACACTAAGCAAGGTCAGTCACAGATAGTAAACACTTAATTTCAAAACGGTAACCAGCGCCACCTATCAACTAGCACATAATTTATCCAAAGTTACAAAGGAGAAGCCTGTAGCAGTGAATTCAAATCGCTTGACCGTTTGATGGTCGTTGGGAAGGGCCGGCGTTAGGTTTTCGGGGCCGGGACACACACAATAATAATTCAGCAATTCGACAATCGTCCGAGCTGACCGTCCGGCGTGTGGAGTGGGAGTGGGAGGCAGCGGCCCGCCGCGTCCCGGAAACCAGTGAGTGACCTGTTGCTGGCACATCAACATGGACTTCGAGACATTGGCAGGAGGTAAAACACAATTCAAACATCAACCCATTCTAGACACCTTAAAAATCCTCGCATTTCGCTTTCAATACACACAATTAATTATCCTACGGTTACGTCGTGATTTAAAATACAAGTGCAACGTATTATGATAATAATATTAATAATAATTAAGAGTAAGAGTTGAGTAAAAGTGCGGAAGTTAATGGCGCGCTCTGATGGATTTGAACGGGGTTGGTTTCGGAGTTTCGGGGAAAGTGGTGGGTGCTGGGTTACGAAGTTACAACGCAAAACGACCGAAAAAGAGGCGAGCGCGCTACCGACCGACCGAGAGACGCATACGTCGCATACGTCGCGGCGTGTTGTAACTAATAAATTGTTATTTTAATATTAACTCAAGTGAATGATTGATAGTGGTGTTGGCTTCTCGCGAGCAGCGCGCGAGACGCGAGACGCTGTGACGAGACTTCCTATCGAAAGGAGAGACCTAGCTGGTCCTTCAAAGTCCTTCAAAATTGTGCGTTTTTAGAAATTATAAATAAAAACCGGTATTTTACACCAAAACACATAATATAACAAATTTCACATAATTTAATCACATTTTATCACATATCTAATTAATTTTTAATCAATTTTATTCAAAAAAGCAAAAAATTTAATTTTTTGGTAAAATTTTGTAAATATTTATATATTAATTCATAAATGCTTTTTTAGTTTAATACTTTTATTTATTTATTAATTTATCTTGTTTGTTGTTTAATTGTTATCGGTTATCGCATTCAGACAACCGAATTGTTTATTTATGCATAGGCCGCGTGTCATATTGTATGTGAACATCAACAACAATTTATTTCGTGTGAAATTTGAGACCAATTAGATTAACATTCCTGGTTTATAGCTGGGTCGTGTTCCTGCAACATGAGCGAGGAATTTTTATAACCTAACTTCGTCGCGTGCACGAGATTAATTTAGTTAACGAAAGTAATTTGGAGATTAAATATAATTGGCTGGAAAATTAAGCGCGTGTCAAAGATCGGTGGGATTTTGATTGAAAACAGCACGAAAGTGTCTTTAATCATAAAATAAGATCTCTTTAAGATAATAATTTAAAAGATGAAAACCGTTTTGTTGTATTTTTTCAGTTTTTTATTGATAAAACGCCAACACAATAAATTTCGTGCATTATTTTTGGTAAATTTAGTTTAATTTAGTTTTTGTGGTGTCAAAATGATTTTATAAAATGATTTTTATAAAAATACGAAGAATGTGAGCAAAATTTGGAAAAATTTCTGTTTTTTCGTTTTTTACGATTAAAATTTATTTTTTTCATTTTATTTTTAATATAATTTTATAAAACTTATACAAAACATGATTCTCATAGACTTTTTGCATAATTAACATTGAAAAAGTCTCTACACCGATTTTTTGCGTCTCAAATCCGTATTTTACTACTTTTAATATAAAATCCGCTTAAAATGCAACTTGTGGACTTAAACCTCACTTAGGAGATTTAAAACTGATCGATTTCGAGTGTGTGGCATATCGTAGGTTGTACTTATTGATATTTCTTCGCGATTCGGCGGGTTCCGTGCATGAGTCGGCTGGAATCCGCTTTGGAAGTTGTTGAAAATGCCTCACGTCGGCGTCGGGCCACACCATTGTTAGGCAATTACGCTCGGCTTTTTGTCCGCCGGCGTTCGTGTGCGACTCCGCGAGCACTTAGCGACAACGACTTGACAAAGGTGCAACTTATTGCTTTCTTCCTCTCGGCGCCGCATCACGAAAATCTTTTTGGAAACGCGAGAAATCGGCGGTGAACAACTGCGAAGCTTAAATATCTTTTACATCTATTTTTTAATAACAGAAAATTACATGTTTTTAGCGGATTTAAGAAGTAATTCAATGAATAACTGTCAATTTATTATTGTTTGTGTTGTTTACACGTAAAATTAAACTCAAAAATTACTATTTATAGGTTTTATTACGCGAATTAAACCGGATGTTCACTTTTATTTGTGTTTGCGAATTGATTGTGATTTTTGTATTGTGAATTAATTGTGAATCCGTCTAACGATCAATCGCCACTCCTTGCTCTGTAAAAAGGTGATTTTCCACGCTAATTTGCATTCGCCACACAACAATGACACAGCAATAAACAAGACAAACGTGAACAAAAGAAAAACGCTGAAATCGTTAAAAAAACGATTCCACAAAGAATTTCATTCCTTTTTTCAGCGCGGCTCAGTTTATAAATATGATTTCGCGTTCGCCGACGAAAACAGCGTAAAAAGTGCGCCGAAAAAATAATGAATAAATGGAGTAAAATGTGGGCGTTATCAAGGATAAGCATTAAATGTAAAAATACAACAACAGTTCATCATATTTGTTTATTTTTACATTTTTTCCACAAAAAAATATTTAAAATTTTAATTAGAATTCTAATGAAAGGAAAGTAGTACAAAGTAGTAACGTAGAATATTTGTCATTTTGTGAAGCGTGGGACATTTCTAACATTTATTAAATTTACGCTGCGACATCTTGAAAGATATTCATATTCGTCATAGCGCTGTGCAAAACTCTAGAATAAAAGCCAGCGACGTCTGAATCTAAATGAAATGTTACAGTTACAAAATTGAAAATGTCGCATAAGTCCAGGAATCCACGAATTCCTTCAGCAAAAAAATAAAAAAAACTCAGAGAATAAAAAATAGGATACATTAGTCTCTTTGTGAAACCAAAAAAACATTTGTGATGCATATACTCATAAATATTTATCGAAATTCAAAAAAATCGCTGTAAAAATTTTCCTGTAAAACATTTCAGTTTGTTTTTATGCACGGTGCACTCCATATCCAACCGGGATCGACCTCTGAACCTGTATTAAGCACACACACGTTTAATTGAGGCCCAGGCGTGCAGCAATCCAACATAATTGCTGAGTTATGAGGTCTTGAACAAGCGCGCAATGTCATCGCCCCATGGCATTCTTTTCTCCTCCATTCACGTACCAATTGATGCAATCATTTCTTCGCTACCACAAATTAATTTCTAGCGGGTGTTGCCATCCATTCTGCGCTTGTCAATAAAAAAAAGAAAGCAATGCCAACACTGTGTATATTAGTAATTATATATTTGTTTAATGTCTGGAAGTGTATTTGCTTTCACCGCTGTGCTGATTTGCCAATCATCGTCTACCACCTGCGATAAGCACACGCGGATTATCGCTGGAGTTATATAACCTGATCTTTCAATCAAGTTAATTAATTGTACAATAATTCTAATAGCAACAGCCGATGATGATCCTTGACTTTGAAACATTTCTAAATCATGACCTAAGGTACGCGTTTCGGGATTTCACTTTAGATAACTTTGCGACGCGTCAAAGTTAATCCGATAAATAAAAATTTAGTAAAAAATTGCGTAAACATTTTTATTTTTAATTTTTTTGTAAAAAAGTTTTGTTTGTGTTATCGTAGGTCTAAACTGCACTCCTCCTGCGATCGACGACTTCCCCCGGGACCTATTCACCGAGCGGGAGCGGCAGGATGGCGCCGTCGTTGTGCACATTTTCGTCTCGCTCTACCTCTTCGTGGCGCTCGCCGTCGTCTGCGATAAATTCTTTGTCCCAGCCGTCGAAAAGATATGCCACGGTAAATATCTCCTCTCAAAACAACTTAAAACATAAACTACGTCAGCCATTTTGTTTTGCAGCGTTAAATATGTCCAGTGATGTCGCTGGCGCGACATTCATGGCGGCGGCGACGTCTGCCCCTGAATTATTCGTCAATGTTATCGGTACTTTCATCACTGAGGGTGATATTGGTGTAGGTACTATTGTCGGATCAGCGGTTTTTAATATTTTGGCGGTGGCGGCATGTTGTGGGATAGGTGCCGGCATGGTAAAACAACATAACCTAGTTTTTGACTAGTTTGTATATAATTTTCGTGTTGTTTTAGTGTGGTGTGAATGTAGTGCCTTTGGATTGGTGGCCGTTGACGCGTGATTGTCTCGCGTACGGTATTACCGTCTCGATTCTGATTTGCATCATCCATGACGAGCGCGTTGAGTGGTACGAGGCGCTCGTCCTTGTGCTGCTGTACACCGTCTATATTTTGATCATGTACTTTGACAAAACGATACAAAAGTACGCGCGTGGTACGTAGCATGCATTTGCATTCACTTCCGCTTTGTGTAACGCCCCGCCATCTTGTTTGTGTTTTGTTTCGTAGGGAGTGTGGAGCAGGCGCGTCGCTTCTCGAAGAAACTCGAGGATAAGCCGGCAGTAGGTGAGGAAGTGTAAACACGCTGTAATGGTGGAGGCGGTGACGGTATGTAAATTAATGTGTAATTTCTTCCCAGAGGCGTCAGAACTTCAGGCGGACGGCGGCGGCAAGCTGAACGACTGCGTCATCGATGATTCCACGCTGGAGTATATTGATAGTGAGAAATCTCTGCCGCTGGGCAACTGTCGGAGTGATCCGCATGAACCGGAATTGATTATTTCACCTGCGCCGCATTTGAATGGATCTGTTAAACTTCCGGATGTTACTGTTGATGATACAGCGGCAACACAACAGAATAATACGTTAAAGGAAAGTAATAAAGAAGTTGAAGAGGAGATTAGTTTGTGGAAATGGCCGTCGGGACGTAGTACATTTACACAGGTAGCCATTTTGTTTTATTTTTTATTTTTAATAGAAAATGTTTTTTATTGTTTTTTTTTGATTATAATTTAAGGTAACATGGATACTAACCTGGCCAATACATTTGGTCTTCCTCTTTACAATTCCGGATTGTGAACGTCCCCGGTTTAAAAAATGGTTCCCGTTGACCTTCACAATGTGCATTGTTTGGATCGGGTCTTTGAGTTATGTTGTTGCATGGATGATAACAATCATTGGTGATACTTTGAAGATTCCGGATTCTGTGATGGGGATCACTTTCCTTGCGGCTGGTACCAGTGTACCGGAAGCTGTCTCCAGTGTAATTGTATCCAAACAAGGTAATTAATATAAATAATAAGTTAATTTTTTTCTACTTCCACTCTTAAAATGCCACTTTTCCACGGTTTTGAGAGCCAAAGCCGTGATTAAAGTACTTTAGTCACGGGTTTTAGTCACTGGCTTGAGTTTTAAAATAAAAAGTTGAAATACAAAAACTAAACTTGAAAATAAAGTGGAAGTTGAAAAAAGGCGTTAACATCACATTGTTAAACGTGGTTAAAGTAATACTTAGCGCACTTGACACTTAATGTTCTATTATTAACTTATTAGGACATGGTTCAATGGGTATTAGCAACTCAATTGGCTCCAACACCTTCGATATCCTGTTATGTCTTGGATTACCCTGGTTCATAAAAGCGACTTTCATGCCGACGATACCAGGCAAACGTTGGGTTGGAATCAATTCGGCTGGCATTGAATACAGCGCCATCTCGCTGCTGTCCTCGCTGGCGATGCTGTACGTCGTCTTCTGGTTGAACAAGTTCCAGCTGGATAAGAAAGTGGGCCGCATCTGCCTGTTGATGTACGGGGTGTTCCTCGTGCTGGCGTCGCTGATCGAGATGAACGCCTTCTTCCGCGTCAACCTGCCGACGTGCGGCCGATGAATACAGTCACCCATCACCTCGCTATCCCAGAGAAGCGCGACACCGAATCGTCCACACGAACACAGATAAAATGAATTCAATACCTGCTATCATTCCAATCATTCTCATCCACGAGCAGAAACACGTTTAGCGGCCGCCGCCGCCGCGATCCTTGTACATAGTAGATCTATGCATATTATAATGTATTTAATTCTCAAGCAAGTGTGGTATGAGTCCTAATTATTAACCGATTTTAAGTAATTATCTACGCTATGTTATATTTTTATGTTTTAAATTTATGATGAAAATTTTATGTGACGCGATGCGATTGAAGGATATAGTAATAAATTGTATGATTTTAAGAAACAGAGGGTTTTCTGTAGCATACAGAAAAAGGACTAAGGAAATGATGAAACTTTTAATATTTTAAAAGTAATAGAATTAGACATTGTTTATATTTTATTCACACATTTTGTAGTTGTGAGATTTACACGCTTTGTTGTCTATGTATTAGTATTAGTTTTCAAATGTTGTCAATACTCTGCGTTTACCTGCGTTTGTTTGGGCAGGACCAGTTTTCTTATCGCATTCAACGTTGCCTGTCCTCGAACAGAACATGTTGCTGCGTGCACGATGCAGTCAGTGTCTCTCACAGGTTAATTCGCGCGTGTTCTTCCGGCGTGATTCCACGTTTCGTAAGATTTTAATTCGGTAAATCGCGTTATCATTAATTAACAGGCAATGGCGCCTAGTATGTAGGAACTGTTGTGCGTAGTACTGTGTGTAGTACTTTGATATTAATTAGATCGCGCGTGGAATGTGCCTAAATGCCGAGTGCTGATTCGGTTCACCTGTGTGTGAGTGTGTGCCGTTTCTATTTGGGCTCATGTCGATGTTGCATTATCACTTACGTTCTACATATATCGGATTCCGGTGGTAAGTAAGTAAATTTATTGTAGAAATCCGGTCATATCTATGGAACCGTTCAGAATCTTCTGTTACGGTTATCTCCTAAACTAAAAGCGATAGAAAAAACGAATTGAAAATTTGGAATCTTCGGGAAATTGTCTATAAGATAAAGCGATAATATGATCGGGCGTGAACAAAATTTTAATCGTGTGTAACGTTTATTCATGGTGGAGTAGTTGTGAGTTGACTTACTTCGGCCGGCGGTGTTCCGTCGCTAGTTGAATTCTACTGAAGTCAAATTTGAAGCCAAATTTTGCCCATTATCTCTCTGTATCAAAATGTAATGCAAGAAAATTCCGTACCGCGAGTTATATTGAAAGTTGTGGGTATACGCACTAGTACTCGTTGCGCTTGGAATTGTAGTTTACCGCTACCCTGGTACGGTGCCCTGAACACGAGTCACTTCTACCGCTACCTTCGTAGGGTGCCCTGAACACGAGTCATTTATACCGCTACCGTCGTGCGCTAAGAATTGTAGTTTTTTTGATATAACACGCGAACGCGGTGTCACAATAAGTTCGGCATCATTTTCCTAGATGCAGAATTTAATTGTTTATTTTCCTGTATTGAAATTTATTGCAAGAAAATTCCGTAACGCGAGTTATATTGAAAGTTGTGTGTATACGCACTAGTACTCGTTGCGCTAGGAAGTTTTTTGATATAACACGCGAACGCGGTGTCAAAATAAATTCGGCATCATTTTCCTGATGCAGAATTTAATTGTTTATTTCCCAGTATTAAAATTTATTGCAAGAAAATTCCGTAACGCGAGTTATATTGAAAGTTGTGTGTATACGCACTAGTACTCGTTGCGCTTGAATTGTAGTTTTTGATATAACACGCGAACGCGGTACACAATGCTCTTCGGCATCATTTTCCTATATGCAGAATTTAATTGTTTATTTCCTTCTATTGAAATTTATTGCAAGAAAATTCCGTAACGCGAGTTATATTGAAAGTTGTGTGTATACGCACTAGTACTCGTTGCGCTAGGAATTGTAGTTTTTTTGATATAACACGCGAACGCGGTGTCACAATAAGTTCGGCATAATTTTCCTAGATGCAGAATTTAATTATTTATTTTCCTGTATCGAAATTTATTGCAAGAAAATTCCGTAACGCGAGTTATATTGAAAGTTGTGTGTATACGCACTAGTACTCGTTGCGCTTGGAATTGCCGTTTACCGCTACCCTGGTACGGTGCCCTGAACACGAGTCATTTATACCGCTACCTTCGTGCGCTAAGAATTGTAGTTTTTTTTATATAACACGTGAACGCGGTGTCACAATAAGTTCGGCATAATTTTCCTAGATGCAGAATTCAATTCTTTATTTCCCTGTATCGCAATTTATTGCGAAAAAAATCCGTAACGCGAGTTATAATAATAGTTGTATGTATACGCACTTGTACTCGTGTATGTCGGTTATTTCAACATTGTGAAATTTTAGTTTGGTCTTCTAACTACGGGTTTACCACTACGTTTATTATAAACAACTTTTTTGTTCGACTGACGTGTATTATCGCGACGTACCTGCCTTGTACCTGGCAACGCGCAGCGCACACGGCAGTCGTTACACCGCGTGGTCCGCAGTCGTGTCCCTCTAATCGCCACGCGTTTTAGGATTTTAATTGGATTAATCGTTGTTTATTCTTTCGGCCATCATCAAAATATTCTGGACGGTCATGTGCGGCTGTTTTGTTTTTGTTATCCCTACGCGAGTTTTAGTTGGTAGAATATATTACAGGATATAGAATTTCCTCATCAATGCAAAGGTACGTGTGTAATAATTTTTTCACGGAAACTTAAGGCGGTGTAACTAAAATTGATTATTCCATTTGAGGGATATTAATTTTGCTTGTATTATCTTGAAAATTACAAATACGTGGTTCCATTCCTATCAGAATTATTAGTCCTGTTTCCGAAAATAACATGCATGATTTAATTATTGCAAAGACGGTTTTAAAAATTATCTGTGGATTATTAAAATGACAATATTCATGTTGTTTGCATCATTAAATTAAGAAGTCTCGTTGTTGACGTAATAAAATCTTGTACGGTGAATAGTTCTTCGTTTTTCGTAGTCTCCGTATATCTTAATATATACAAAGAATTACCTAGTTATTTTTATCTTATTTAAAGACAGTAATGCCATGCGCCGTCGCTTGCCGTCTGTTGATTTAGATGTTTTCCACCGGATATTCTATCATATTCTATTAAAATAAGGTTGTTTCCATATAAATTTCCCGTGTCATGATGTGAATATTGATTATCTTTGTAGTTTCGAATTTTTTCTTTTTGTTACACCCTGTATCTTAGTTTTCTTAACCGCACGTAAAAGATTGTCTTTATTTGTGAGTTTTGAATGTTCATTGTTTTGAACTTGGGATTTTCTTTCTGGTACACCCCGTATATTAGTTTTCTTTTGTGTTCGTGAAAATTTTGCGTCAACTATTGTTTTTAGGATTTTCTTTTTTGCACTTTGAATTTTCTTTCTGAAACACCCTGTATATTAGTTTCCCTGATCGTCTAGAGAAAAGGAGCGACGTTTGAAGTGATAGTGATAGTTTCTTGTTTGCGTTGTAAATTTTCTTTTTGTAACACCCTGTATATTTGTTTTCATTTTCAATCACATAGAAAATAGGCTATTTGTTAATTTCATTATCCAGGTAGAACTTTACAAAGTAGTATTTGTTTGCATGTGCGCGACTATGCAGGTCGTAAGTCCTGCTTCAATATGGCGGCACGTATTCTGTTGACTTGTAAAATATAAACTTGTATTCTATTGTTAATAAATAAATAGTAAGATATATTTACTTCTTTGATTTGTGCGTTCCCCTTCTATAGCAACAGGCACAGGTCTCTAAGATAGTTCCCTCTCATCCTCTGAGAGTCAGTTAAGGTACTAAACTTGTATTATATTACATTGTGTTTATTAATAAAGAAATGTTAAGAAATGGTATGTCTTATGCTTTGAATGTACCCCTTCTATCATTTCAGGTACAGGTCTCTAAGAGAGTTCCCTCTCTCAGGGGATGATCCCCTCTATAAAAATTGTTGAGGTATCCTGTGTGATTTGTGTGCTCCTTCTTTCATTTCAGCTACAGGTCAGAACTTGTAAGAATATTTTTAAGTGTCCCCTCTCTTGAGGCGACTTAAAACTTAGAAATATTTTTACAAGACCTTATAAGGATTGTCCTTATAAGGAGTTCCCCCTCTCTGGGGGTGATCCCCCACCATAAAAATTGTTGATATGCCTGATAATTCCGGGGATGAAGCGCAGAGACATCGTAGCTGTAGGATGGGCCGGGAGCAATGGACACATCGAAATAGTAGACTGTCTAACGACACGGGCCAAAAAATTTAAAAATCTGATCCTCTCCCCTGTTCTCTTCTATCTTCTATTTCCTCCTCTTCTCTCTACTCTACTCTCTTCCTTCTATATTCTCCTCTTCTCTGCTCTACTCCTCTACTCTCTGTTCTCTTCCTTCTATCTTCTATTTCTCTGTTCTCTCCTCCTCCTGTTCACTTTTTACTTTCTTACTTCTCTTATTGCCTTCACTTGTATTTCAATTTCTCTTATATTTCGTTGCAATTCATATATGCAACCCAAATTGCACCTGATATTTTTATATTTGAGAAAAATGCCTTCTATACCTGAGATTCGATCCGTGTCTGCTAGCATGCCAGCAGGTGCACGTCTCCACTCGACCACCGAGTGTTTTTGTTATTAATATTTGATTCTTCTATTTATGTTTTTACTTTATTCAACTTTTTAAAAACAACAACACAAGCTGCAGCTATGTTTCACTCGCTCCACGCACGTAAGATTTATATGCAATATGACTTAAGACGTCAATCCTGAAAACGACAAAGAGGATACCAAAGAGAAATATAAATTTAATTATAATATTACAATGTGTTTTATTGCCATCATTCACAATTACATACATTTTTACAATTGAAAAACATAGACGACTACTAAATCTCGTAGCAGTAAAGGGACGCTGCAGACTCCTCGGCACTCGTACTTGCAAATTTCTTCAGCGGGCACCATCATGTATGTGGACACTCTACACGAGTGCAATGTTCTTAAATTCACCACGCGAAAATGTATCACCGTCGGCCGACGGAACCTCACTAGCGCATAGCATCTGGCAAAACGCGTTTCACGCCCGATTCCAATAAATGTCGTTGATATAAATCGATTTGCCTAATTGTGATATACAGAAAGAACTATGTATTAGAAATGAACACGCGCGAATCACTCCGTAGTTGGAATGAAACTGCATGTAAACAGAACAGGCAACTGCACGCGGTGACTATCTCTACGTTCGCTAAACGCGACCAAAAAACTTGTTTACAACATTGAAAACATTGATATGCGCGCAATGTAACTCTCTTCTTCAAATACATAAGATCAACTCATCTAAAAATTACAAAATTTCCTATTCAATTTAAACTTACGACGCAATAATTATATTAATCACCATCGTACTTTATTTGTATTTTTAAAAAACTTAAAAATAAATATATCAGCTCAATCATTTGCTCTTCCACAACATAGAATATTTGTATTAACAGTAAAACCTCCAGCCGACGACGACGTTGTCTATTCAAATTCCTCTTCCAGTTCCACCCAATCCAACCTGCCAAAACAATTAAAAACAAGTTGTCCATTGTATTAATAAATCCATAACCGCATAAAGAAAAACACAACACACAACATTAAAAATGCGCTAGCAAATTATTTTAAATCGTATAGTAAATTAAAGAAAGAAAACATAAATAAACGTCATTAAATGTCAACGAAAACTACACAGACCACAAGTTAAAATCTATACTGATTATCTAGAGTGTTACGTTGCCTCTGCACATGCATTTGTTGAACATGCTGCACATTCAGGTTAGCCTCACCACCTCCAATTACGTGCTTGCCGTTTAAACTACCACCATGCCCCGACATGCCACTGACCATTACTAACTTTTGTTGTGTGATGATTTTTTGTTGTTGCATATGCATCTGCTGCTGATTGGTGTTGGTGACGTACTTCACGACTGTGCTCTGCTGCTGTTGCACGACTTGCTGCACTTGCTGTACCTGTTGTCCGGATTGACTGCGCTGGGTGACAAATATTACCTTTTGACTTGGACCTGCGGATTGGACTCGTGTCGCCTGCTAATTTAAGAAACAAATATTTCAAAATATAATTCAACTAAATAAGATAATAATGCATCAAAAACACATTAGGATATTTTACTTACTTGTTGAACAATAGAATTCGAAGATGTAATTGTTCTTGTCACAGATTGTCCTACATTAGTCTGCATTGGAATCGCATTTCCAGTAATTGGCGGCGCAATACTCAGAGGCTGTTGCCTCACCTTTAAAACAGCACTCTGCAAAGCTGGACCTAAATATCCATAATCATTTTTATATTCTTCCAAATAATCCGGTGGATTTTTAAGAGTTTTATTATAGGAGTGAGATTTTTCACCAAAAGATTTTTTATATGCCCTGATGCAATCTTGTCAACTGTAGAAACAGAAACACCTTCCAAATGTTGTTCAATTCTTGCACCTAAAAAAATATTTTTGGGAATAATTACAAATTTTTAACAAAATTTATAAAAAAAAATTTATACTACCCAAAGCTTTTAATCTTGGAACAATGAAAGTTTTATAACTTCTGTTCCAAGTTCAGAAAGACCTTCCAAAGCACCATACAACGAACTCAGCGCAAGTTTATCCCCTTGTTGCAACGCATTGCAAAACATTCGAGTAATGCGCGTCTGAATATTATTCGTCGATGTATTGAAATTTTTACAAATTTGTGACATCAATCTCGATGCAAAATCACGCAACGCCCAATGATTATCCAATTCTGGTCGCATGCAAAGTTGTTTTGAAACAATACAAGTCGTCACAGACGGTATTAACTCATGCAGATATTTTTCTAAATATAATGAAGCATTATCCAGCAAAGCTTTCACCATTCTCATAAGATAAATCAGCAGTGCTAAATTATTTTGCACAACATTTACTCTTACACCTTCAATAATAAATGTGCACATCCTTGGCAACATTTCATGCAAGCCTGGATCTGATGCCAAACTCTGCAGGGCTTCAGTTCTTCTATTTTCATCAGATCCAACACAAGCCTCTGTTATTTCTTTGTAGTATAATTGCTGTTCTACAGACAATTCATGTGTGGCTAATTGTTTAATTTGTACTGTTTCCACATTCTTTAATTTTTGTTTGCTTAGACTAGGTTTGCCAGCATTCTCCTTTGATTTGGGTTTGGTGATTTTGTTCACAGGGTCAACTGATTCAGTTTTCTGTACTTCTTTGGCAACTGGAGGAGGATTTTCAGGAATTGCTGGTTGGACTCCATCAATTGCCAGCCAATGTGTCCTCAGTGTGACTTCAAGAGGTGCTTTGTTGTTTACATTTTGGATTATTTCATTGAGATCAACTTCTTTTTCTTCTATAAAATGTAATTCACGACCACCGCCAGACGCAAATCGAAATGGAAGAGATTCCAAGGAATGAAAACCATATTGTGGCTAAATTTAAACAAAAATTATAAAACTGTATTGATACTAGAATAAAATTGTTCTTTACCTCAAGATTTTTCACTTTTAAAGCACTATCAACATCGGAATGCAATAACTTGGTGCGTTTCGCATGATTCATAAACTTTGCAGAGTCTTGAATGATGTGTTTGAGTCGAAAAGAAATATCGTCGGCTAATTCTTTCGCAGCTTCATCTGGGAGACCTGGTATTCCAATGCTTTCAGCTATTACTTTCATGGATTCTATTGAAAACGTTGTTCCATATAGATCAGTCTCTGCTTGTTTATTTGTCATCTTTTTTGATTAAAATTCACAACAGTAGAAGCGTTTAAACAACAGGAAAATGAAAACAGGCACCACCAAAACAACAGCCGAGACGCTACTGTTATTTTTAGGTTATGCTTGACACAGTTGTAACTAATCTAGGGGAATTTGGTTCCCGCACGCTTGATGGTGCAAACTTGTTTACGTTTCAAGGCCAACTAAAGCATCATCGATATTAAATACACAGTGGACAAGTCTTGTTTTGGTAATAATTTGAAACATTTCTCAGCTGTACGCGTGTTTCGTGGTAAAATTTACCATACTCTATGCTTTACAATTAATTTGAATTTTATTTACAAAATAATTTTAAAATATTTTAGGTAATATATTATATGACACACTGACTCGTAATACTCGATACAATATTTACATGTAAACATAATTAAATAATACTTGTTTGGACTTGTTTAACATTCGTTTTCTAAATGCATTGTAATGCCTTCTTCTTACTATGAATTTTTAAGTAAACTGGCTCTTCACACTCAGTGAAGTAAATGATGGCACAATAAGTTTAAAAACGTCTTTGTAATAAATAACTTATAAATGTTTGAACACAATTACGCTCTACGCCGTCACCGGACAAGAATTCAAAGAGACGTGCTTCAATTCATGCATATTGACCCAATCGACATGTTTATTATCGATGGACAAGTTGCGTATGCACCCTTTGAGATTCTCGCGGATCTTCAACGTACCTCCAGGCGCAGAATCTACAAAAAAATAACAAAATTAATAAATAAAATTGTTTGATAATCATTTTATGATGTTACCTGGCAGTCCGCCAATGTACAGCGGCGCTTCAATCGATCGCATCTCTTCCAGCCCATTCAAAACCCACGTTTGCGCCACACCATCCACATTAATCGACAATTCCGTCGTGAACGAAGCAATCACCTTGTGCCACTTGTTGTTACATGACACCAGGCTGTTGGTGACATTTGTTACCTCGCCGTTACCCATATCCACCGACATCACCACAGCGCCATTTTGTAACTCGATCGAGAGCGCCGGTCGATTGGTTTGATCCGCAACACTGAGCAGTATTCCATTCTGCTGATCAGTGCGGAACTCAAACGCAATATCCAGATAATTATTCAATCGGAATTGGCGATCGTAAGTGGCATAGGAATCACCGCGGAAATAACTACCGCGTTCTATGTTCGAAAAACATTGACCAATTTCATTACGACGAGTTTTCTTTCGGTCAAAGAAGTTGGGGGACATGTGGTTAATCTTTAATGAGCGGAGACAACCACGGAATTGTTGCACAAGGAAATTCTACAATAAAAATAACAAATTAACATTTAAATTGTTCCAAAAATTGCAAAAAACTTACACTTGAATATTCTCTGGGTATGTTTCCGAAGAACAACTTATTAGCAACTCTATTCTGTGGCATTTTACGTTCCAATCGTACTCCATCAATTGTCAGCGACAACCGTCGTTTCTTTTTCTGTATTGAATGATGATTTTCCACAACAATGCGATGCCATTTTCCGTCGTCAACACGAACGCTCGTCTCGATCTTCTTCAATTTCTTACCCTTCATTTGCAGTTCAGGCAGACCTTCTCGTATAACAAACATGTTGTAATGATCGTTGCCCTAAACATTCAAATCAATAATTTACCATTTTTTACTATTATTTATTTTTAACTTACATGAGCTAAATATAGCAATCCATCAGCGTAGAATGTCCGCAACTCAAATTCAATCGTATAATTGCCTTTCCAAAACCCGTTCTTTACATCATGTCCGATGAAACTGTTCTGTGAGTCGCCGAATTTGTAAGCACTAGGTTCAAAATCATACTGCACACGTTCGCACATCGCTGGCGGTGATATATCTTTCATCGAAATGTCAATAATCTTGTCTTCGACCCTCGGTGATCTTTCTAATTGCCTCTCTGGCAAACTCAATGTCCTTCCAATCATGGCACCTTGATGATCCTTATATGTATCGGGGGTGATAAACATCCGTTCAAAATTGACGTGTACCTCTTTAACCACTCCTCGAATACTGTCTTTACCACCAATTTCAACTTTTATATGATAAAGGGTAAAATGCATTAATGGGCATTTCTTTTCATTCTGTAGTTTGTTGTCAATATATAAACATCCTTCGTTGTCTGCACGTACTAAATGATAATTATCATCAGTAATTGTGTTTGTTGAATTAATTTCTTCTTTTCCAATCATAAGCAGTTGCAATATTCCGTTGTTTAGTTTAAAATTAATGTTCTCGTTAATTTGTAAAATGTTACCGTTTAAAACATCTTTCTGAATGCGCACCACAAACGCAATATTACGGTCGATGCCATCTTGTACTTTGAGTACTTTCTGAAATCTTACAAAAGCATCAGTTGAATTCAATAAAACTCTGTCAAATTCAAATCGTGAAAGTGGATCAACCGGAGCCACACCGTAATGTGCATTTCTTTCAAGAGACAAATGTGTTTTAACAAGCGTAGCGCTCAACAGGCCCAAAAATGACGTTCGCTCAAAATCATCTGGTAAACCAACGCCGTAGAAGTTCGGCGGTAAACCACCGATGGTAAAATTACCCTCTAGGATACGTATTAAACCCTTAGGAATCACATGAATGTCTCTTTCATATTTTTCTTCATTGACTTTAAATAGAATGGCATCCACTCTTTTATTATAGACTTTAGCGAACGTAAAAGTAACGTCTTTTCCATTGTTGTACTTTTTCTTCGATATAAAATCCACGGGATTATCAACTGTATCTTCAACTTCCGGTTTGTATTGCATTCGGAAGCGAACGTGGCCATTTTGTAATGTTATCGCAACGTAAGCACCCTGCGATAACACCAGGAATATCATAGCGTTTTCATCGAAAGTATTCATTGTAAAATACATATCAATTTTACTTCTGTCTGATGATTCCAATTTCTGGAAGTGGATGTAACCATCTCCGTTGAAACGGTATGTTTGCTTGGTCAATGTTTTCGTAAAACTATAAAAAATCAAAGAAATAGGTTAACATTTGTTTATATTTATAAACTGATTAAATATAACTTACACTTTGCAACTAGTGCAAGTACCATGACTTTCCGCAAAGTCCCAGAGACCAATTTGTTTCTGATTGATGGTCAACTCCTTGATACACCCAGGAAGACCATAGTCCGTTCGTCCACCACCCCAACCTAATTCCAACCAATCTTGACTACTGATTCCATAGAGTTTAATCTTCTTAGAAGTATTAGGTTTATGTTTTAAAAGTGTGGTACCACGTGTGACTGTCGCCCCTGTTTCATTCAGTACCAGTTTGATAAAGTTCTCATTGTCAATCTCCAATGGTATTTTGAAATCAAGTTCATCGAAGACAATATGTAGACTGGAATCTGTTGTTGCAACTTTTACAAAATCTTCTCCATCATTCCCAGAAAACAATCTTAGAATATTTTTGGGTGTTTCAAGAGTAACTACTTTGAATTCCATTGATAGAGAGAATTTGTTGATGGTTCAAGGCTTTTGACTTTGAAACGACGTCCACAATCACCTCCATTTAAAGGAATTGGTATCTAAAGAAACATATTAGTGCTATTTATATAAAAATCCTAAAATAAAGAAAAAAAACTTACCATAGAAGCAATTTGTTTGGCTTTCTCAATATTATTCCTCAACTGTTCTAGTTTTTATTAATCCCTGCACGTTTATCATTAAACTGGTCCAGGATATTCTTGTGTTTATTCAGAACATCCACATGAGTAGCACTTTTACCATAATTAGACACATTATGCAATAAATCCTTAGTGAACAGTATATTATCCTTGAATTTGTTGATATTCTCCACTGACGTAAGCTCCAAAAACTTCTCCCAGCTCTTATCCAAGTTATACTTCTTTGTAATATTTAAATCCGTGGCAACTTTATGAATCTGTCGTGATTCTTCCAAACTACCAACTGCCCGATGGATAACATCTTCAATACCTTGCATTTGTTTCAATTTTTCAGCCTTGTTAAAAGTCATCTGATGAATTTGTTCCGATGCGTTGTTATTCGCCAAACCATTATCCCAATTAGATTGTTTTAGGTCGTTAATGTTGTTTTCTAAACGTTTATGTGGTTGAGTAATATTACTGTCAAACCAATTAGTAATTGCATTGATTCGCTTCTGGAGTCTTTCTGAAGCTGCCTGGCTTATTGCACTTTTATCAAACAATGTGTCATTATCAAGTGGATCCAGATACTTTGCTTGCAATTCCGAAAAGTCTTTCTGTGCACCCTCATATGTCTCACGAGCGTATTTAATCATATCCAGATTGCTTTCTTTGAACTTTCCACTGGAGTTTAAAGACTTTAGTTGATCATCATATTTATTAAATTGGTGTTGGTAATCTTCAGCGGTTTTCTCTAAATGTTTGACATGTTTTTCTAACTGGAGACGTTTTTCTGGAAGTGTATTAACAAAGTCATCGGAAATACGATCATCAAGTTGGTCTAATAATTCATTTATTTCATTATAATCAGTGATTAAGGAGCTGTTAAGTTGATTTTTGGCTTTGTTTACTTGATTAACTTGGAACTCGATTTGTTTCTTTTGTTGTTCCACTTTATCATGAATACTAACATAGAGATCTTTCAATGTTTGCAAGTGTTGTTTGTTTTCATTATTTCTAAGTCTCCCAACCTCGTTTGTTCGGTGTAAATCATCAAGAAACTTCGAACAGTTCTTCGCGCAGTTGTTCAACCGTTCAACTTGTTCTTTTAAATCTTTAAAATCAGTTATCTGAGTTGAATTTACTAATTCGTTCACACGTCGCATAACATTCTGACATTGTTCTCGGACTTTATCTGTTTCAACTCTGGTTTTGTTAAGACTTGTGCGTTTTTTCTTGATATCAGAATATAACTTCTGACCTTCTTTGAGGGCTTTCTTAGTAGAGACTTGTCCAGTTGCAAATGCGGATAATGTATCTCTGATATCATGAAGTTTTTCTTTAGTGTCACTTATATTAGCAAGCAAAACATCGCTTCGTTTTTTGTTCTTCCGAGTTGCATTCTGTACAGTTTTAGAATAATCCCGAACCTTTGAAAACTCTTCAGTCAAAGCAGCAATTTTACTCTCCAAAACTTCAGTGTCTTTGTTGTCAATAATATCCACAAGAGTTTCCTTTCCACTCAGGTATGTATCCACCTTTTCAGAGAGATTAAGATACCTTGATTCTATCTTCTCCAACATACCCCATGGAGGTTGCAAAGTTCCATTATTCAAATGACCTGTATTCTGAGCTAAAGAATACCTCAAACCATCAACTCTATCCAGCAGAATCTGAACACAATCGTCACATAACACGCAAACCTTATTCTCGAGAATGTGTCTTGCTTCCATGCATTCAGAGCATTTCTGTCCAACCATAGATGGTTTACAAACACAGTCACCTGTGATCTTATCGCATTCAGTACTTTTACTACCATGAACATTGCAATTACATGGTTTACAACTCCCCCTGGTAGATGTGGTTGTCCATAATATCCAGGACCACATCTATCACAAGTAGGACCATAATATCCAGGTTTACACTTGCAGATCACATGATTAGCCCGGGGATTAGGTACACAGGAGATAGCAAAGTTTTGGGTTACACTTGGACAAGCACATGCTTGACAGCTGGTAGAAGGATCACCATAATGACCTTCAGCACATTTTTCACATGATGGTCCCGAGGTGTTTTCGGAGCAATTGTAACAATGCCCAGTTTCAATATCGCACACCTTAGACCTACCCTGACAGGAACAAGTCTGTGATTTACCAATAACATTATCAATATCTTCAGGGCCATGGTAAATATACCCCGTAGGTTGGGCAGGTGCACGATGATTACCCAAACTAGGGTTCTGACATGATGTTCCATTATATTCAAGTGGGCACGTGCATTTTTCAACACCCATTGCTAAAGGTGGTGGGCTACCTAATAAATGTACACCAGAATCCAAAGCGACATCCATTATAGCAACACTTTCAAAATTTCTATAATCTGAAGCCTTTATGAAGATACCAGTGACTCTTTGAAGGACCACCATTAAGACATCTCTAGTAATCGGTAACATTTGCTCCTTCTGTCCGTGAACCTCTTCTAATCTCCAATTACTTTCATGCAGGCGTATTTCATATCGATCTCCAATGACCATGTTACTATAATGGATCAACTTGATACCATTACCTTCAATCCTAGCAATAGGATACTGTGTGAAATCCCCATGATAAGCTGATGTAGATAAGGTAATTGTAAAAAACCTCAAATATCCCCCATAGGACAAAATCCTATCACCGGTAAACTGCTCGGGAAGACGCCAGTACAACGGGATATCAAAATGACCATGCGGGGAAGTAACATTACCAGTAGTACCTTCAATCTCTTGGAAATTATTAGTATCCAGGAACAAAGGAGATCGTAACTGGATTGCACGATGATCAATGAAATCCACACTGAACATTCTCGTCTTCATCCGGATCTTACTCCAGGTGTATCCTGCCTCTGTGCAGGTCTTAGACCTCCCGAAACAGAAACATTCCGTACAACCCTCTTGGTTTTCCAGGTGTAACCCAAAAGTACCTTCAAGACATTGATTACACCTACGTCCCACGACGTTACTCTTACAGGGACAATACCCATTTGGGTCACATTGACACACCCCAACTGCATCACACTTCCCACCTAGGATATCCGTCCCTGGATAGTGACAACTACACCTTCTACATTTCGGATAACCATAGTATCCATGCGCGCATTTGTCACACTTATCACCTGTGTAACCCTGTTGGCAGATGCATGAACCAGTGTGGAGATCACACTGAGCACGGATAGCGCCTGTATCGGAACAATTACAAGCCTTACAACCCACGTTGGGTTCATAACCCCAATGATTGGGTTTACAATGGTCGCAGAATTCTCCGTGGCTGTGTGGGGGACAGGAACAACGACCTGTTTCCTGGTCACAGATATGACCACGTTTCGTGCATGGTTCACATTCTATTTATATCAAAATTGAAAGAAAATTGAATATAAACATTAAAAAACCCAAGAAAATCATTACTAACCTTTGCATCCATCTTTGGAAAACCCATAGAACCCACTCTTGCACTGTTTACAAAGTGGTCCTTCAACACCCGCCTTACAACTGCATTCACCACTCTGTAAATTGCAATTCTGAGATGTTGAACCATCAGGATCACATTCACATTGTCTACAACCAACGGAATCTTCATAATATCCTTCCTAAATTACCATAAAACATAAAATATGAATCTAGGTTAGAATACTATACATTATCCACACTTACACGACACCTATCGCAGGTTAAACCCATATAATTCGCTTTGCAGCGACATTGTCCAGATACAATATTACAAGTCTTCAGCTCGGATCCTTTGAGCGAACAATTGCAACCTGCATTTCAATAAAATTACAGCAATAAATAATTTAATCTCATTATACGCATGCGTGTGTAATCTATAACGTAATTCGATCCGTGTTGTCGGGTGTGAAAATTTAGGTCATCGACGAATGTCGCCGTGCGATTGCGGCGCGTTTTAAAGTGTATTTTCATATTTCCCAATATCCATCAACTGATAACATTACACGAGTCACACGGCCAGGTAACTGAATATGTTTTGCTATCGATGGCGATTGTTAAAAGGATTTAAGATTAAAACATACGCATTATACGATTATATACATATTGTACCTCAAAGAATGTAAAATATTTTACAGGAAATTTCGAAAATAACTGTAATAATAAAGGCTGAAAGCTTCAAAAAGTCGAAATAAAAGGGCGCCGCATGTTTCGGACTGTATTTAACCGACGCGCACACTCCCGGCAACCAACCATTCATTAAATCACCGCAACCAACACAGCATATCAATTTCGCTAATCGCCGTGTATGTAATAATACACACCGGACTGGAAATTTTTCAAATCACTTCATTAAAGTACTACGCGTATCGCATTACTTAAATCACATTAAGCGCATGTCATTTACTTTTATCAACTAATACCATAATTTGACTAAGCTTAGATTAATCCAACTCAAAATAAGTTATTTTATTTTTTATCTGTTTTTATGGCTTAATATAAAAATATGCGGTTTAAAATTCTAGTGGAGTATTAGTGCGCATGCGCAATATAATTAAGTTATTCTGTTTGGAATGCCAATGTCAATGAATGAATTAGCGTGCGTTTTGAATGCGCCGCCGCCAGAATAAAGCCGTAAACATAAACACAAACAGAAACATCAAGTTTTCAGTTCACTTCGAAGTTAAAACACGTTAAAACGCGCGCTGCGACGAGCAGAGACGAAGTTTAAGCTGACTTAAGAGTTACGACTTAGGTTTGTGTGTTGAATTAACTTTAACAAGTTTGATTCGAATCGCGACTTTGCCGACTGCAAGATTACACTGATACTAATTCAGTGGTATACAGAGTGTTGCGTAAAATTTTGTTTTTATAAAAAAAAACTTTTATTAACTGCATGATAATTATTGTAATTTGTAAGTGGAATTAATTTTTTATACGCTCGAAGAAAATTTCCGAATGAAGCTCTTTCTTTCCGCCGAGATTGAGTTAATAAGCGGCTCGTTACGAGGCGAATTAAGGCGCCGATGAAAGCCTCACCGCGCCGGGCATCGAGCCGAAAATTGAATCAATTAAAAACTCAACCTTACATCATTCATAATTAATAATCATCAAAACGTATCTTTACGTCCTCGATTCAAAATTAACCGCGTATGGCTATAATTTTATATATGCGCGGCTAGTAAATAATAATTTATTAAGTTTTTTAACAAAAAAAAAATTTGTATTTTTGAAAGTTTTTGGTAATAAAACAAATATTATTGTAATTCTTTGAATTTTTTCCTTTACGACCGATTTGATTTCGAAATAATTGCCGAAAAAGCTTTTAGTTCGAAGAATGAAGGAGTAAAGCGTTTCGGTTTGTGCTAAAATGTAAAGCTAAGACATTTGTATTTATACCCAGGCGGAAATCTCGCCGCAGAGTGAAAGAGGTTGTTAAGTCGTAAAGATATTAAATCTTGTTCGACTACTACTACACCTTGTCCGCTTGTTGAGCGCGATCGCGCGTGGGCCACGCCAATGACGGATGATTAAGTGCACCTAATGACGAATGACATCCCAGACACACACTATCAACATATTCAGACGCAGCAATCCGGTGTTTTTGCTTGGCAAGCATTTAAATTGCATTTACATATCTTTTATAATTTTGTTTCATTCATATGCACGTGCAAAAAGAAAAAAAAATTAAATTTTGCTCTGTAACTTTTGACAAAATACAAAAAATTAAATTTTTTTAATGAATTTTTATAAATAAATAAATAATTAATTAGTTTTTAACCTTTAAAACTTTTTAAAGTAATGAAAAGTGTAATAATATGGCTGTTTAAGAGTGAAAACGTTTAAAATAAATGTAAAATTTAAAATTAAATCCCGGAAGTCTATAAATGCATGAAAAAACAACTTTTTTGTTTTATTTATAAATGTGTCTGGGGCGTAGGCCTGCCTCAACCACACCAATTCCAAGTTTAACAGCCCATGAGCCAAAACTATTAATATTAATGCGGAGCGCAGACGAAATGAATCAAACTGAAAATTTACCTAAATAAAATCAAAAATAAAACTTTCCTGCCGTTGGATGTTAAATGACAAGTTAGCTATGCAACCAAATATACAAATTACACTCGCAAATCCACAACATATTCAAAATTAAAGCGTAATCAATACGCTGCGATAGCATTTAACGTGAATAACAATAAAAGTGTTTTATTCCGCGTGTGTTCATACGTTTGGTGTGTGTTTTTGATGGGGGATGTTCGTTGTTGTTGTTGTTGTTGCTGTTACGGCCGCGCGGGGTTATAGAGTATAGAATTTAACGCGTTGTTGGTTCGGCTTTTAACTAATTGCGAGCGAGCGCGCGGGAAAGCCGTGGGAATACCAACAAAGGCGGATAAACTTTTAATTAATCGAATTTCCATTTTCGCTCTCGTCGCGGGCGCTCATTATTCCCAATTGAAAATCGAGCCGCAAAAAAACAACACAATTTAACCTAGGCAACCCTAATTACACTGCGCGCACAATACATAAAAGTAACTAAAGTTAAGTTGGTAATATAAGATTGTCAGAGTTCTAAAAATAGGCAACCAGATATACATAAAAACAAGAAATAAAAATGTATAGCATGTGGAGTTGATCGTTTTGAACGTTTGAAATTGTGCGAATTCTCAGCGCGCAAATAACCTTTAAATCGAATTGTTTCTTCACGCGAAGAATGTTCCAGCAGCGGCAAGAAGCGCATTTTTGCATTTCCGAACGATGCAAACAATTTCAACGCGTCGCCGCGCTACCAAAACAAGAAATGCACAATGCAATTGTCCCGACTACTGCAATCCGCTTTGATTCTACAACTTTTATACAAAACTTTAAAAAATCCAGTTTAAAAAGTTTAAATATAGGAAGTGTGAGGCGAATAAATAAGATACAGCGAGATGAGGACGATTTATGACCTTCGTGTCATCACCTGGTATACTTTGAGTCCTCCACAAACACAACCCAACATTAAACTCCTTTTAAAGCATAAAATTTAAAGTTTTATGATTAGGACACTCTGTATATGGTCTAAAATATGAATCGACGGCGCGCGCGCCAGGCGATAAACCAGCCGTTAATAACACGATTGCGTGCACATAATTCGCGAGTAATCTTTCGACACCTTTGTTTCGTGTTAGAGTTTTCCGCGCCGTTTTTCACTCATTTCCTAGTTTGCAGCGACAAAAACGTTTTCGACAATCGCAAGCGCGTTCAACAGTTAATTTCATTTCGCAATATTTATTACCAACAAACGCCTTATACCGAGTGTACATAAAAAAATCTAAATCTAAATATTTTCACAAAAATATATAAACTTCCGCTAAAATATAAATTTAGTCGTAATTTAAGCGTCGTTTGTTTATTTTTCTTCTAATGAATGTTTTGTTTGAATTTAATTTAAGTCACGCGCGCATACAGTACTTAGAGATAACCTAGTTTAACTTAGCTTAAAATGTGCGCTGTGTGCATGTAGAATACTATACTTTATGCACGGCATAAATGTGCAATTAAGAATGCGATTAATCAACGTTGACAAACTATTTAGTTGCGTAATCCGGCGATAATCGACTCGTGAATGGCTGCGGTGATAAATCATCGATTTCCAAAGCGGCTAAAACTACATACTTAATAATCAGGCAATTTATTATACACCGGAGTGTGTGTGTATGCGTTGGGTTATTAAAAGTTTGCGGCAGCGTCGCTTCGATTATTCGTTCCGACTGCCAACTTCTTCGATCTACATAATGTCGCCGAGATGCACCACAGCGCGCTGCAGAAGCTCGTAATCTAAGCTCGCACGAAATATTTATTTATTTATTCAAATGCGATGCAAATGCCGCCGCGCGCACGTCAACTACTGTTTTGTTTCGCGGCGCTGCGCCGCTCCCCGCCGGCCCACACTCGCGCGGATGTGTATCTCGTGTGGTTGTGTTTACGCAGAAGCTCAAGATGGAGAAAAGCTCTGTTTTATATTGTTGCTTGTTTTTCTTGCTTTCATTGTGCATTCAGATGTATATTATGGGAGATTTACAAGTACTTACAATTATTATCTGTAGCGGATTGACGAGTGAAGAATTTGTTTAAATATTTTTGTAAATAATAGAAGTAGAGAGATATTTTGGTGGTAATTGGTAGATTATGAAAAGGAGTATAAGATAAACTATTTATAAACTTTAAAAATGTTAAGAATTAGTCGTAAATCGAAGAAAAACATAAAAATAGTTAAAATTTTGTGCAAAAGTTTTCGAAAAAAGGCTATAATTCCGAAACTAACCGTGATAAAATAACAAATTATACTTTAATTTATAGCTAACCACAAATACTAGAACATTTACCAAAGAAAAATTCATAAATTATTATCATTTATCTAAAAAATAAAGAAAACTATAAAAAAAACGAAAAAGTATCCTGAAATTTTTCTTTAAAAACGCGATAACTCCAAAACTATCAGTGATAAAAACACAAATTTCACTTTGTTTCATAGCCAAGAACTAAGTCTACAACATTTTCGAGAAAAAAGTTGTCGAAATATAACCGTTTATCCAAAATTTAAAGAAAACGAAAGAAAAAACGAAAAATTTTCCTAATTTTTTTTTCCTTAAAAACGCGATAACTTCAAAACTAACCATGATAAAACAACAAATTTGGCTTTAATTAATAGGTATTAGCAAATACTATAACATTTACCACCCAGAACTCCATAAAATATTACCGTATACCCAAAATTTAAAGAAAACTACAAAAAACCTTCATAATAATAACTTTAAGTTACTCATTAAGAAAG